TTTCAGCGTAAAGGAAGATAATCAATTTTCTATCTTTTTGAGGCTATACAAACCATAAAAAATGCCCAAAACGTCTAAAATTTCAGATTCACGTGTAGATAAAGCTATTGAAGCTGTCTATCTTGAAAAAAAGCCTAATATTGCAAAAATCGCGCGAGAATTCGGGATCTTATATTGCACACTCCATGGCCGTATTTATGAAAGAAGAAAGCCTTGTACAGCTCGAAATGTACTAAATAAAGCGCTAAATGAGTATCAAGAGACTGCCTTAAAGCAATAGATTATTAAAATGTGTGATATTTATCTCCCGGTGACTATATCATTGCTTTTAGAGTGGGTAAACCTTACTGTACAGCGCGATAATTCTACACAGAGTGTCAGTCGATTATAGGTATATTGTTTTTCCAAAAGACTTCCTCCTGATCTTAAATTAAGCCCTGTGATTCAAAGGCCAAAGGAGAAGAAGTGTCTAGATATAGAGGATGTCGGACAGCTTCAATTCTGGTATATTCAGCTTATTAATTTGCTTAAAGATATTTCTACTTGCCTTGTGTATAACTTTGATGAATGCGGCTTTTAACCAGGTAGTGGAAAGCCTCAAAAAGTGTTTGGTATAAAGGGAAGAGTTTCTAATCTTCCTGAAACTGAGTATACAGAGAATATTACTGTGCTTGAGTGTATTGCTGTAGATGGCTGGATTATGACTCCGCTCTTTATCTTTAAAGGAAAGAAATTTATGGAGGCCTGGTACAATAAAATAATTCCCGATTATTATACTGCAGTCACCGATAAAGGCTATATAAATAATAAAATCGTACTTGAATAGCTTTAAAGATTCTATAAAGAGACTAAAGATTATACAAGAAAGGGAGAAAAATGTATACTTCTCTTCAACAGCTATACAGCTTATAAAACAGTTGAATTTCTTTAACTCTGTGAGATATATAAGATTCTTCTCTTTTGTTTTTGACCTTATACAACACATCGCTGTTAACTGCTTGATGGAAAGTCCTTTCTTATATATAAAATATACTTTCGCAGTGCAAATAATTATATTGTACAGTGGTATGGAGTCCTGGGAGATAAAGTAAATTTTCTATATAATATTATTACTGTATGTGAGAAGACTTTTACTCTGTGTCTTATTCGCAACTCTTTTAAAGAACGCGGTATCTTTTCTCCAGATAGATCTTCAATTATTGAAGATATTTAGAAGACTTTACTACCTTTACCAGAGATCTCTGTACCTGATTTACACATGTACAGAGAGACTATGCTGCCTCCAAATTCTTAGTCTTCAAGTATTGAGAATACACCTCCAAAAAGTGCTCAGCAAGTTGAAAAGAATCAGAAAAAGCTATTTAAGCTTTTAAATGATGATATACTAAACAATCCTTGTATTGAGTGCTATCTTGATCGCTTATTTTATTAACAAAAGCTTTAATCTGAACAGCTTGCTATTATGAATTCAACTCTTATATAAATTGAGACTATACAGGTATCCCGAAGCTGTAAAAAGTCTAAGCAAGAGATTCAACGCCTTGGAGATAGTGGTATACTGTGTGTAAAGAATACGAATCGGTCTACTGCAGACAGGAAGGCCAAAGGTAATGAAAAAAATAAGAAAGCAGTGGATAAGATGTATTTCAAAGCGTACAGCCACCTCCCGCCAGTGCCTTATATAGAAAATAAAACTACAGCTTCAGATATAGGATTGGTAGAGGAATTGGGTAATCAGCTTTATTTTATTGATTCTACAGGTGTTTAGTGGTGATAGTATAAATTGCTTTATTTTCTTTCTTTACGCTGAAAATTCCTTTAGGCTGCCGAACACCCACCGGCGGAAGGCGGTGGGTGTTCGGAACCGCCACTGATATATTGTTTTATTTTGTAGTGCGGTGTGGAAGGAGGAAGTTGTATGAAACTGCTCCTCTAGGAGTGAGAGTAGCGGGGTTCACCAATAGAGAGACGTGGAGAAGAAATGAATCATCCGTCGAAGATGGCTGTCTATTGTCACTCGACTTGAGATACACTTTGTTAGCCATGCTCTTACATGAGCCTCATAGCCTGGGAGGGGAAGAGGGGCTATATAGTCTTGTGGAATATAGGGCCTTGGCTATAGCTCTTACACCATTAAATGTTAGGGGTTTAGGAGCACTGTAGCTGAATCTTAACCTACAACATATAGATATATATATCTACTTTGACTATGCGAAATTCCGACGCGTTCCTGAACGAACTTCAGACACGCATTTGCGATAAGGGATGCTCCTTCACCGTACAAGATTATGAAGATGGCATTAAAGAACAAATCCACCGTCCATATGTGGAACGTATGATGCGAGACCATCTTGGAAGGCGTGACAGTTACACCACCGACGCGGATGTTCTTGTCGATATGGGGGCATCCATGTTGTCTACAGCCGATCAAATCGCTTAAATCGCCCGATTTCCCTTATCCCTACGCCTGATCCTCCGCTCGAAGAGATGAGGTGAAATCGCCTCTGTCGCTATATTTTTATTATTCTAGGGAGCGTGTTAATAGGTCAATATATCTTAGGGGGCTTGGCTAGCTCCCTAGAATAATATAATTTATAACCGCGGGATAAGGCCCCTGAATCCTTCGGTTTTAAATACCTATATAGTATAGAATAGTCTATACTCTGTAGCGCAAATACTGCTGCTATTCAATCCTATTCTAGATTCTTTGGATACTAATCTTATGATATATACTTCCTAGAAATCACTATTTTTGGATATTATCTCTCTCTGATACACTTTGGAAGTCTACCTATCTGGATGCCTTCCCAAAATATATTTCCACTGCTGTATTCTATGTTATGACACAGTATTTATTGATATGTCTAGTAGACTGTATCCTTTCTGTCTAGTAGTCTACTTTTAGACTATTAGGTCAATCTTATAATTGGTAGTATAAGGCCTGGGAAAGGGGGGAAGCAGTCTACTATAATCGCCGCTATTTCAGACCCTTTACTGTATCCACAATGTATATAAAGCATATTTATGACACAATTGTCGATGAGAGCTGCTTAGTACTACACTAAACGGCCGTTGGCGACCCGAGAAGAGCACCTGAATGGGAGCTGTATTTGGGTATAATGCATTTCTCTCTCTCTCTATATATATCTACTTTTCCTAATAATATATATGAATTTAGGGGCAGAGATATAACTTTGAAAAGTATTGGATTTATTCTTATACAAACAAAATACGCGCCTAAGAAGTTGGAACACTTAGTTCTCAGACTCTCTACGAGGAATAAGAAGCAGCCTATTGATTGGTGGACTGCTTGGTGGAAGGCTTCAGTACAGTTAACTAATCTTACTGACTAACAGTAATAAGCATAATACCTCGTCTAGAGGGTCTGCGCTTGTTGAAATAAATAAGAACATGAGTAAGCTCCAACAGATTAGTACAATCTTGGCTCCCTTTCCATTTCACCAGCTGAGAGCCTGAAACCAGACATTTAAGCCCTTCTTGGCAAGTAGTAAAATGTAGGTGGACGTAGGCTAACATGTGATCGGTGGGTCAAAACGGACAGATTGATAGAAAAAATTGATCGATCGATAGATACTGTGTAGATTCTAATGCTTAATTACTTATCGTTTCCAATTTTCCTCCTCCGCCCAAGTTGTGGTCCTATTACGGATCCAATCCAATACCATGTTAACTAATAGTAAACCTCCTTTGTAAGCAACTAATTGAGATTGAGCAGACCATCTGAATTGTTTATAGCGGGGTATTGCTTATAGTGAAATCTCTATAAAGACTAGTTATAACCAGGAGTTTCAAAAACTCTATATAATTTATATGGTATATTTATTGGTTTTTCCACATAGTTAAAGGCATTCCAATAGTAATTGACAGTGTAGTAGAGAGATAGAAATATATGTTTTAGTTGTTTGATGACAATGTGTTGTGCGGGAGAGATTTTAAATCTAAAATCACTAGAAAGAGTAGAGAGACATGTGATTGTTTCTATATTTTTAAATTATATAATTAGTTGAAGGGACCCACTTTGATCCCTTATAAGCAACTCTGTATGGATGAATGGACGAAATATCCCTATATCGGGGTTGCTTATAAGGGGGTTTTACCGTATATTTTGGCCATTGACCTCATCAGTCATGGTGATGAGATGAATCATCGAGTTGCCCCCAGATCCAACCCCAAGGAGGCTAGACCGGTTCTGGCCCACGGTCAATCGTGGGGTAAAGTTACCTAAACCTTACTGTACAGGTCATTCTTCATCTGATTCTTCCTTTTCACTCGAATGAAGGAGATTACTCCTCTTTTTGTTAAACCCCCTCTTCATTTAACCTCCATCTCTTATCCCAGCTAACTGTCTTCCTAGTTACTACTCTACCTATGAAATACTACTGGGGTACCGGTAAATCATTCCCTGGTAAAGTAGCTACTAAGAGCTCCTGGCATGGTAGATCCTTGGGAAGTCCTTTTGTGGTAGCCTTCTCCAGAGCTAGCGTCTTCTCCACTTCCTGAAAGTTCATACCATACACCGGCGAATTTTGTGCCAAGAGAGAATCGATTGAATCCATTCATGCTCCCCCCCTTCAACCATTGGAGCTCTCCACTCCCTCTGCAGCTAGCTGGTCGATCATAAGGTATGAAAACCCGCTCTTTCCGCATTCCCTAGCTTGTCTCCCACTCTTTTCTCTCCCGTTTCTTGCCTGGATCATCAAATAGCACCCCATATCCCTATCTTCCTCTGCCAGCCGCGGCGACTTCGGCACCTATTCCTGTCGCTCTTGCCACCACTACTGTTGCATCGTTGGGAATGCATCCATATTTCAGTATTCTTGTGTGACATACCTGGCTGACTGATTCCCCCTAGCAGACCTGTGTGCACATTACGGAGTAAGGAACTCGCTTCCTCCTGTTCTGCACCGCTCTCTCCTTGCTAGTTGTTTACCACGGTTTGACGTCATACCGTGTATGATACTCTGAGCACGAATTTGTAGCCTCAATTTACTGTTAACATCTTCCGTCCGCATCTACTTGTTCATACTCGTGGAAAAGGGGGCGTCTTCCCCGGCTACGTGCCCATTTAACCCGTCAACCATATCCGACACGCTTCCTGCCACACTACCTCCTAAATCATCAACTCTCTTGAATAACCTCACAGGGTTGTTCACCTAGGTCTTCATAAGGATGTCAGGCGGTCGCTCGACTTCACCCATCTCTGTTCCTCCACCATCCCGACAGCGTCGGGCTTCCTTGGCGTCAGGCCTTGGCCTAGCTGATTATCTGTCGAAATCCGGGAATCAAGGGACCACCTCAAGTGTTCCAACGGGTCCAATGGCTAGTGCTGTAGCCAACGCACAGTCGCACCATGGGCGACGGCTATCCATTACCACGCTAGGGCTTTCAGGCTCACCAACCCAGACTTCACCGTTTGGGGGCAGAAACTTGCGACATGGTAGCGTGTCCAGCTCCATGGGATCCAACCCCGCGAGCCTCGAGGACGCCGTCATAGAGGATAATGAAAATGGCCCTCCTAGTGCCACCCCGAGCTCTCCGTTCGCACGGAGAGTTTCCTTTGGCGCACAAGCATTGCGAGATGTCCGCGGAGGAAGCACAGGCAATGGTAGATATCCCTCTCCTAGGTCACCCATGGCTGGAGGGCGCTCATACGCGTCGCCAGTCAGCTGCACTTCTGTCAATACCACCGCTGTTTCAATAGCTGCAAGTACACATAAAGTGATTCCTGAGAACGATAGATCTAACCCGTCTTGGCGACCATTAGGCGAAGGCTTCAATTGGTCCGAAGCTCTTCGAAACCGCGCCGAGCGTGCCCCGTCGATTGGAAACAATTCCTCAAATGCACATCAAGGACAACATACAGCAAACACGGTTCAGTCGGGACAGCATCAGCGAGCGGCCTCCATTGCTTCAATGGAACAACCAGCCCGGGAGATGCCCAAGCAACCCCGGCAAACTAAACCGGACTTCTTTCAGGAGAAAATACTCCGTGGAGATTTCATGGATTAGGCACGCGGACTGAAGTTCTTCCTACCTCTTCGTTCCTGTCTAGCACTCCATCTCCCCCTACCACAAGGGGTAAGGATTAGTGACTTTAACCAAAGAGAGACGGGCGAGGTGAAGGATCTAAAACAGGAATGGACACGAGAAATAAGCCATTGCAGCTGATCAATGTGGTACTTCCGATTCTGCATTCGCGAAGCATGTTGAGATCGGTTATTCGGTCGGCTGGCTGCCCTTTGCATGATACGCCCATCCGGTTTATCTACGGAATGAAAGATATTGGAGCCGATTTGCAGTTATCTCCGGACTATTTTAACACAAGCCACAAATAGAAAAAATCGTAAAAAGAGAGGGAAGCGAGGCGAGAGATCCAACATGGTGACAGAGTCTTCGTCAAATTCGGGCACGAATCATTTTGTAATCAGGGTGATGATTGTATTGTTGATTTAGCGCATGCTTGTCTCTAGTCCTTTTTCTCAGAACTCTGCTGGTCAGACCTCATGTTCATTGCACTCACGATTCCAGGACATAGCCACATGCTTGAAATGACCCTAGGTCGTCCTAACATGGTTGTCGGTGTTATAATGACTGCAACGTCACTCTCACACACACATTGTTCTATTTACATCATTTCTTTCTCTTTTCATTTCAATTCTTTTCTTTTGATCTGTTTGTATTTTGTTGCTCTTGTTTATAACACTTTCCAAATAGCTATAGTTAAGCATATGCCCGATAAAATGAAGCAGTATGGGCTGCATAGCGATTATTGCTCTGATACATACACGAAAGTGTAATGGCCTTTCCCATTGTCCATTTGAATGTATGTCATAGCAGTTAATAGCTTTAAAACTAGGGTACTGTATATGTGCCTGTTCTGATGGCCTTTTGAATTAAGCCTATATGAAATCACAATACAAATGATGTAGGGTACTGATCCTGTGTGCAGCCCTGTTATTTCCACCTCGCTTAACTATGTATATGTCGCAACTATTCTGTAATCTATAAGAATAAGCGCCCTTGAGTATAGGGGGTGGACTCACCCTAATATCCCCGAAGGGGGTTGAAGAGCGAATAAAATAAGTGGGGTTATTATCCCCTGATGGGCAAAATATCTATAGCATTAAGAAATCAAAGTACTCCGTACTCTGTAGTGGAAATATAACATTTACTATATAGTGTTAAGTTGATCAATATTGAGCTATTTCTCCGTTCCGCGTCTGCCTTTTCCCCTGTTACTTGCCGTCTTCTCACGCAAAGACTTTCATAAAAAGAGACAACTCTCAAATATTAGCGTGGTGAGCCCTGCAACGTTAGACCTGTGTTCAGCAGTGCTCAACCCGATGATTAAAGGTTCCGACCATATGTTACTTTTTGTTGTGTATTGTGTATCTATTTATCTAGTTTATTGAGGTCTCCAACGGAAAGAAGCTGTTTTGGTCCTCGAACAACCAACACCTGAATCCCTCAAACAAAGAGATGGAAGAGAAAGTCGTTCGTTATTATTCTTGACTGGCAGTACACTGGGAAGTAAGCTACTCGAGAATGGTGCAATATAGAGTATTTGAATGACCCGGATTTCAATATAATGAGGGAGTTAGGACTTTAGTCTCACTCCCACCTCCCCATCCCCGCCCCCTTTGAAGAAAAGAGATGAAAAGCGCTTAAAGACGTTCTTGGTATAATGACGAAACCGAAGAAAGGTGACAGGTGAGCACAATTACGGCGGTATCCGACCCGACCTAGTAAGGGATGCCATTCGTCAACAACTGAAATTGATCATAACCCTTAGTAGAGACACTCATGTAGGATTTGCGGACAAGCTCCCGCATGTATTCGGCCGCATCTCTCTCGCTCCTCTCCAAAACAAATCGGTCCCGGAAGTTCTTCAGTGTATCAGGCTTGAAACAGGGTAAGCCACTATCAAGCATCAATGAGACAATGTGGGCTAATTTGGCACTGTAGGGGCGGGATGCAAGGAACGCCTTCACAACCAATGATTCGAACCACCGATAGGGTTGTGTGCTTGTAGGATTGTAAGAATTACCACCGGAGGCATGAGCATGTGTGTGTTGAGTACCGCTCATCACGGCAACCATTTCAGAAGTGAGTTTGAACGGTGCGCGCTCGAAGCGAACGCCTCCAGGCGCAATATCGAAGCAGAATCCAAAGTCAATGTGTATAATGTGACCAGCATCATCAACCATGATGTTCCCGTTGTGACGATCCTTGAACTGTAGAAGATAGGAAATAACAGAATAGGCCGCCATGCTCTTGACAAAATTAGTACGTGCCTCCTGGAACTTAATGGAGTCCTCGCCGCCGTACTTGGAAACGAAATAATCATAGAGCCCATTCACTGCCTCACGACCCAGCATGTCACGGGAAATTGAATTAGGGAGGACATCAATAACACCACATCCGGGAGCTGTCGAAGTTACTCGGTAGGGGAATACCCAAACATCAAGCCCGACACTACTGAAGATGCTCCGGAAAGCAGCAATCATCTGCAGGGCCAACATGTCTTGACGGCAGTCGTCACCGACTTTGAAAATTGCCGACTGCCAAACCTCGTAGGTCTCTTGCTCCGAGTCCAAGCGAGCCTTTTGGTCCTGAGTCAAGGCGTGTTGCCCTGAAAGATTTATGGCGCCCCTGGAATCAAATCGAGTCCTCGTCTTTTGGATTCTGAAAGTCGCCATGTATGGTGCTTTTGCGTGGCTTTGGAGTGGTTTTCCTGACTTGCGATCGATGCCGACAACAACGCCATCGGGATTGCTAGGGAGGTAAACACCAACCTCCACTTTGATTTTGCGAAGTTCTTCCTCAATTTTTTCTTTCTTCTCGGGTTTACTTCTTTTGATATACGGCCGTAGCTTCCCTGAGATACCTGTGATGTCATTGAAGAAGGAGAATTCCCTTTCGTAGAAGTCGCGTTCCTCGTGAGTGAAGCTGGCAATGAGAGAGTCCATAAATTTGTCCAGGGTTGGCTTGAGTGGATCCGGCTGTTTTCCATATGTTAACGAAATTGTTCCAGATAAGGGCCGCTTCACTCACAATTTGAGAATCCTCGTCTTTATATGAATTGGCTTTCATATTCCAAATTGCCTGGTGCGCAAATAATTGAGATTGTTTAGCTGTTTCCATGATATAGCGCTCTACGTAACCTAGCGCATCATATCGTAGAGCCTGCACTAATTGTGGAACAAAATAGAAACGAACGTCAATGGAATGACTTTCCAATGTTTTCATCGCATACTGTAGGATGAACGGGTGATTTCCATAAGCAGGTAAGAAATATGTTAGAGCTTCGGTGGGATTCACGGGAGCCCAGTAAAGCAAATACTGTTAAAATTAGCCTTGAACTGAAATGAATCTATCGAGTATGCACGTAACCTTACCTTCAACTGGAATGAGATATCTGCAGGAAGAGTAGCACCGAGCATGATTTCAAGGCTACTGGGCTCGTCGATAACCTTTTCCGGGAAGTTGAGCAATAGCCAACGAATATCATTCTTCAGCTTCACGGATGGGAAACGTGCACCAAGTTGAATGGCTAAACCCGGATGCTCAGCCCAAGCAAGCCGTAACAAAGAAGTGGCCTCCTGAGATAAAATTAGACTCATACTTTGAGAGGGCTTGGGGAAAGGCGAACGAAATGGGTGTTGCAAATAAGGCCAACGAACCTCCATGAAATTCTTGCTCCCAGAAGACTGAGGCATGTAGTGTTTACGATCTTGATCCAAAGGATATAGCCAAACCTTGAGACGTGACCTCTCATTTTCAAGAAGGGCATAGAGCAGATCTTGTTTTGCCTGCAGTGACTTATGCGGTCCCAGCGTGTGACAAGCGACATTAGAGACACTAACCAATGCAGACGCGACGTCAATAAGGACTTTGTCTTCAGCCTTGATCTGCAATCGATTGCCGCCGAAGGACCACCTGCAGATGCACACATTAGAAAATAGCTTCGGCAGCATGTAATTTAATGACAACATACCTAGGCGGATGTCTAAACCAACTCAGAGCGGCAGACAAAAGTTGGTCTTTAAGCTTCCAAGAACAGGCCGGGTCCACCGAACTGAAATGCTTCAGGACCTTAAGGCCAAACAAAATGATACGAAAGTGAAGCTCGCGAGATAGGGGATGCCCGCTCGTTTGCATTAGGCCGACAGAAGTCTTGTCAATGAGGCGACAAAACAGTTGTTGATCTTGTAGGTTTCCTAGCTGAATTGCACTGAAGTGGCTCTCAAAAAACTGGAGAACATGTGAGTGCGGTGAGAGAACTTTGTGGGCTTTTTGTTGTTTTTGTAGCATCAGTGCCTTATCAGTAGGCAGGAGCTCAATCTTTGCGTACAGTGGATCAACGTAACTAAATTGTAAGGAGTCAGTTTCAATGGTACAAGATGCAAGAATCGGGGCCTTACTCAAAAGATGGGTCGAACAGACCCTTCTTACGCAAGATTGTCTTCTCCCAAGCCTCAGCTACCTCAACTAGAATCTTAGGCTCCACAGTTGGATTCTCATGGATCGCCCCCAGCCACAGAGAGATTCCGAGGTCTATTGACTCCGTCGAGAATAACTCAAAGGGTAAAGACACAAGGTAATGAGGAATAGAAGGATTATGGTCACCACCACAGCACAAGAGAGCGGCAGCCTTCCGCAACCCATCTCTAACCTCCGGGAATGAAACTTCATTTCCCAGGCTAATCTGCTCATATAAGTAGGCCAGCCTATTCTCAACAGCATCTTTTGACTCCAGCTGAAACAACAGAGGCACATTGATCCTGGGGCCTGAAATTGTTTGATCAGCTCAATGAACTTGTTGAATTGATAAGGATACACAGACTGTTTTCCCATCCTAGAAATTTAGACAACCGCGTATCCGGATATCGATATTTTTGGCGTGTAGTGTATTGGGCCATGAATTCAGAAGCAACGTCGACCCTGTTGATCCCATATGGCTCAATTGATCCTAAGCAAAGTTGAGATGTATTAGAAATAAGTCTTGACTGTACACTGATGAGCTTACCCAGCCGCTGATCGCTTTTGGAGATGAGCGATCCCATATCAAGTGCAAACGATCTACCCATAGAAATATTGCCAAAGCCATTGATGTCCTCGGATGCGGATAAATAGGTCTAGCCTCTAGTGAGATACATGCTTCAGAAAACAGAATTGGGACATACCTGAAGAAGACCTTTGATATCTAGGGGAGCGATATCCATCACGGCCGTGACCCATGCCCGAGCTCGTTCGAGGAATACATCCAAAGTTTTCCTTCTAAAGTGATAGTTATCAGGTAAGTCAACTTTGACTATTCCCGTGGGTGAAGTGAACGAGGGTTTCCACTCGAATTCATCGAGTTCTTCTTCAAGGCAGGATTGCCACATAACTGTCAAGAGTTCGAGGAGGGCAAAGAGAGAGTCTTTTTCACATAGAGCTGATGGGCATTCATTGATGATCTTATTAGCGCAGAGTACAGCAACGTTCTGTACTCTTTCTACTCTATGACAGCAAGCCACAAAGAAACCACCCAGTTCCTTCGACAAGAATGGGACGGAGAAATTTTCATGTCTACCAGATAGCGTCAGCGAGACATAAGTGTTTACCACTTTCTCTGCAATTGCAGTCATGCAGCTAGCCATCTCGATGGTAGTTAAAGCCGGGTCCCGGAAGTAACTGAGGACTTTAGTGCAGTTTCCTGAAGATGCACGGAGACTTTCGACTAACAACGCTGCATTAAGGAAAACTGCTTTTGGATAATTCAAGCGTTTGATCTCAGACTCGTGGCTGGGAAGCTCCGTAATCAGGATTTTCTTCTGTTCCACGAGACGCTGTGGCCCCATGCCACGTCTGAGAATTGTATTAAGCTCCACATCACTTTCAAGCATTTCCATGCGGTCTTCAGAAACAAGTGGTGGCGAATATTTTGCCAATATGCGCAGCTCCTTCATATGGGTTCGAGCAACGGCCGAGGTAAGTGAGATCCCGTGAACGGCAATGTTGAACCAGGCATCACGAAACAAAGTAGATATATCCTGATCATAATCTGCAATATCCGCGCAGTTTCTAGGAGTCGGTCGATCGGAGACAAGCAACGCCAGTGGTTTCAAAAGGGGGCCGAGATCGTTAGGAGTCAAGGTTATTTCTTTTTGGCGCTCATTCTCAAAATCCGTCGCGTCTCCCTTATTTACGATGCTCTCTAGCAAATGAGTCAAATATGTCCTGTAAAGGGGGGTGTTTCTCTGCAGTGTGGCAGAAAGGTAGGCCATTGCGCTCTCTACCGCGTTAGCAACGTTGCTATATCCCTTAGTGACCCCATCCCAGTAGGCCCGGTCGTAGAATTTAAGAAGAAGGTGAAATTCGCCTTGAGCTGTGCTCAGAGACAACGCAGCTGCTTCCTTGATGATATAGGCATCAACAGAAGCACTGACTTTCCCGATCTTTTGGAGTAGCATTGATTGTGCTAAGGCGCTTATTTTTTCGTCATTAGAATGTGTAGCAATCGTCACGATGGCGTGGACAACGTTTCTGTAATGTACACTGCCTTCCTCGCCAGTGACAGAAAGAGAGGCCTCACTATCTTGCTTCGCTTGGGAGAAACTGGTAAAAGCATTGCTATGGCCGGGAACATCTCCCATTGACTGTCCATAATATACTTTCTCGGTGCCCGAACCGGGACTCAGAACATTCCCAAGTGAGTACAACGTCGTGATAACAGCATCTTGAGACAAAACACCAAGAACTTGGGCAAGGCATTTCGCAGCAACAGAAGCTGTCGGCCCAGCTGGAATGCCACCTTCGACAATGAACCTCAAGAGAGAGCGACTTCCGGAAGAAGCGCTGTTTAGTGACATTCGTGCAACTATTGCTATGCTTTTTAGAGTTGCCGTTGCAAGCTCGGGGCATGACATTTGATTCGGATCCGCCAAAGTGTTCTCTAACCAAGACAGGAAGTCTTCGCTGTTTACCCTTCCACTCAAAACACAATGTAGATACCCGATAAAGGCGAACGCCTTCACTGAGTAAGTCAGTCGTTGCTGCAAGTGTGAGCCAAGCTGCAGATAATCAGAATCATCCTCTAGAAGCCTGACCTGATCATCGATGATCTCTGCCGTACGATTGATAAGAGCGATTTCGTCCGTATCGTGGCTCCTAGCGATGCCAACACCACCCATATAATCGTCCAGCAATTCATCCTCTGACATATTGTGTGCTCCAACGAGTGAAGTTGTACACGCTTTGACAAAGCGCATGAATCCTTCCTGCAGCAGCATGGCTCCTAAAGGGCGTCCATCGGCAGTATAACGCCGAGTGTACCGCCTCCAATCTCGAAGCATGTTGTCAGACATATTTGCATTACGTACGATAGATGATGCTGTCTCGACAGCAACCATAAAGCCTTCGGACAATATTAACCGCATATTCTCGACTATCCTTAACTTCTCGATGGCTGTCCAGAAGGAAGCAAACCTAGTAGAGGCCTCCAGAAAGCCAACCAGGGAAACTGTCATTGATAATATACTGACGGCTTCATAAGCCGTGCCGGGATGATCTGTCCCGGAATCATGATGTGTGAAAGGCGTCGCAGCTTGAACAGATTTGGCGCAGTGTTCCAGGTACTTATCAACAGCATTGAGAACAGTCTCTCGCAGCAACGGATATCGAGATTCGGAGCCCAATGAAAGAAGAGCCAAGGTGACATTGTTGGTGAGTGCCTCCCAAGGGGAAGGTTCTATGTAATGCAGGAAAGGCGAAGGACGGAAAAGCTGACTGTGGGCCTCAGGAAGGTAGCGAGATAGCTGTGCGACCAACCTAGAGGCATGCTCGGGTTTGTCCACAGAAGGAGAGGCTTTACACAATGCGATTAATACATCTAGTTCTCGGATGCCCTGCGAAAGTCAGTATATGTGTTTCTGGCTGATGTACGAGATGCAAGCGTTGACGGACCATAGGCACCCGCGATGTTGGCGCCTGATTTCGTAAAACACCATTCAAATCACGCGGATAAGACGTCGAAAGCTGTAAATGTCGAGAGATGCGGGTAATGTCTGATTTCTCATCAACCTCCGGTGATCTGACTGCTAGCGTTGCAAGCTTCCCCAACGCGGAGGGTCTGATTGATGCGGAGAATCTGTTCCAATCAGCGCGCGACTTTCCAAGCGATGAGATCAAGACTCACTCGTCCATTTCAACGACAACTTCAAATAGATTACAGAGCGTAACTAAACCAAATCCTTGTTTCCCTCAACTTTGTTTGAGGCGAAAGGGAGAAAAGGTAGTAGTCCCCCCTGAACGGCAGACGATTCTAGTGGTAAAAAGTGCTCTCGGAACTGAGACTCTACATACTAGTACGTGTTCCCTCCCCGGACCCACGTGGGAGGCCGAACTTACCTTCGTCTCCGTAGTCCGAACTCATGGCTTAACTAAATTACGACCGACCTAGGTCCTCGGGTTTTTAGGCCAACTCACGTCAGCTAGTCATGGTAAAAGCCGGTAGATGGACGAGAACTACAAGCACCTGTGCGAAACTCATATGACACGATATACTCCGTACTTGGTACAAAAATGTGGCTCTCAGACTCTTGAATTAGATCAGTATCAGTTAAGTCATACCTGCCAATGCCAGTGCAGTGCTACCTAACTAATCGTATCATTACTTTTTTTGGACTGTAACAAGAACTGGACTCTAGGGAGTATGACTATCTACCATCACACTATCCAAACAGATTAATGCTAGCCTCCTTCAAATGAGCTTCTTTTTTTACGGTCCTTGTGTAAGAGAAAAGGTCTCAGGTAGCCGGTAGATGGTACATACTAAGAAGATATTACTACCCCTTGTTGTCAACGAATGGCTTATGAAGAGTACTTGCTTGAAAGATACGCGTTAGCGCACCTTCCTCGCAGAACTCCAAGTCCCAATAAATCTTGAGCTAGTACGCATCACGACCACAACAAGTCGCCTGCACCTTTTTCTTCCTCTTCTTCTCCTACTCTTTCCTTTTTTTCCTTGAAATCTCGTGACTCTCTCTTTTGGTTTTTTCTTATCTTCCTTACTTCCATCCTAAACCAAAGCATAATTACGGTAGTCAGCGTTACCGCTGTAAGAGAAGAAACAGGTCCTTTTGCGTCACTCTGCTCTACATCGCTCCGCTTTGCATCAACCAAAAATCCAGATTTATCACCGTATTAGCTGCTTTGATGACGAATTTGGCAATTATTTAGCCTAAGGCAGACACAAAGCAAAGCAGAAAAATGGCACCACAGAACGAAAAGAGCTCTCTTAAACGCAGTAGGGTGGGTGTTTCTTGAACGGATCCAATGCAGGTTACTGAAGATGCAAATATCATATAGGTTAGCACGGACCATGATTCACAAGATCTGAAAAAGCAGCGGCGCTCCCAGAGTACCACAACCCAAGGTCAATCCCAAACTACGCCAGTGAATCAGTCCTATTTACCTACGCCTCTAACCCAACAAAATTCAACCACGACGGACATTACGAAAGAAGTCACGGCTTCACCTGGTAATTCCAGCCAGGTGCGCTGTCAAACGCCGCTCAATTCAGATTCCCTCCAAACATGCTCGTCTTCTCCTGGCGATACGCAGGCTCAATCACAATTTGTATACCCCCCCAGAGCATTTGCCGACGAAGTCGAGGATGAGGCCGCTGAGGGGGTATGGGGCTACCTCATCCCGCTTGATGAAAAGGTTCGGAGGCCCCTTGTTCTGAGAAAACGAGATAGTTGTGAAGGCCCTGCGGATGCGAAATCCAAAGGCAAGACTGGGAAGGCGACTCGACGGCAAGGTAAATCATCGGAGGACAAACAAGGGAAGAGCCATTCTCCCGGCGGTTACTTAATTGGTCGCCATCCGGAATGTGGTAAGTAGCAATGTAAAGCGTGATGTAACATTGTGTGACTGACATCGGTATATTCAGACTTGGTGATTAACGTCCCCACTATATCTAATCGACATTTCTTGATATTCCCAGAAAACAGAAAAGGTGGATCGGTTGCGATAATGGAGGATCTGTCCAGCAATGGTACTTTTATTAATGACGCAATCGTTGGGCGTAACAAGCATCGTGAACTTGAAGACGGGGATGAAGTCACTATCTTGGATGAGGCACGGTTTGTTTTCAGGTACCCTCGCACGAGGGAAACAAGCGGGTTCCGCCAGCAATACAGACTTCTTCAACAACTTGGGAAAGGTCACTTTGCAACTGTCTACCTCTGTGCGGAACGGTCTACAGGAGCGCAATACGCCGTTAAAGTTTTTGAGAAACGTCCCGGAGATTCTCAAAAGTCCCAAGTGGACGCTTTACAGCAAGAAATAGGTCTGTTGATGGGTGTTAGCCACCCAAATTTACTATGCCTTAGAGACACATTCGACGAGAGTGATGGTGTATATCTCGTTCTGGAACTTGCTCCAGAAGGGGAACTCTTCAACTTGATCGTTAGCAAGCATAAGTTTTCGGAGACAGAAACACGCCATATATTCGTTCAACTTTTCGAAGGGTTAAAGTATCTGGTAGTGTCGAAGCTATCCATCATTCAGTAACAATAGCTAACCTGGGCAATAGCATGATCGTGGAATCGTCCATCGGGACATAAAACCTGAAAATATCCTTGTTGCAGACAAGGATCTAACTGTGAAGCTAGGTGATTTTGGCCTTGCGAAGATTATTGGGGAAGACTCATTTACAACAACTCTGTATGATGCAACTCTATGTCCCTTTCCCTTCACTCCTTTGCTTCATCGGTGTACTTTTCATGCAGGGATTTTAGCTAATGTTCCTTACTCGTAGATGCGGAACGCCGAGCTGTAAGTCGCTCCAGTAAGGCTGGTATGGCACAGTTGATACTTATATTGTAGATGTGGCACCAGAGATACTACAAGATACCCGCCGCCGCCGATACACGAAAGCTGTGGACATCTGGTCCCTTGGCGTTGTTCTCTACATATGCCTTTGTGGATTTCCTCCTTTCTCCGATGAGCTTTATACTGCCGAGAGCCCGTACACTTTAGCGCAGCAGATCAAAATGGGTCGCTTCGATTATCCATCACCCTACTGGGATTCTGTGGGCGATCCGGCTCTAGATCTCATAGACAAAATGCTCACCGTTGATGTCGACAAGAGAATTACAGTGGACGAATGCCTAGAACATCCATGGCTTACTGGGAAATACCCTAGTGTTTCTGACAGCACCGATGGGCTAACTGGAGCTTTGGGAAAACTGGACTTCTCGAAACGAAAAATCGCACGGGAACGCACACTCCTTAGCAGTGTCAATCATGTTAATTTCAGTGAGCACATGGAGGAAGGCGCTATTCCGATTAAAGTTTTCCACAAAAATAACGCCGGAAAACGTGTGCACAATCGGCCTGCCAAAGCTCAGAAACGTGAGGTGTCACCTGACGACAATAGTGCCCCTAATGATTTTGTCAACCTTGGGGAGCGTGGAGATCCGGTGTTGTTCAAAGAATATCCCGCCAGCCTGTACAAATGAGAATTTGCTAGGTGCCTGTGGGTTACTGTCCTTATAGACTATTCTATTCTGCTATAGAGTTCCTGGGCCAGGAACAAACGATGAATATCACCACAATCGAAAGATAGGTATCGTTAAGGTCTATTATAACATTGCTCTGCATTTTGCTAGATATGCGATAGGTCAAATCTGCAGGCTAGTTGTCTGTTAATATCATAATACATACCATACTGCCACGCATGGCATCAGGCGATTGGCTCTCAAACGGGGTGCTGTCTTTGTTCGGAACTCGACAAAAGCGTGTGTAGGCATTGAGTTCGGTGTTATTATTTCCACTGATCGACAGTTCTTTCAAGGATATAATTATCATAAAATAATACTACTATGGGACACACTTGCTTCCCTTATACTTCCCTACGTTATGCCCTGATCTGTTTGTAACATTCAAGCAATAACTGGCACATACTGTAGATCTTCCGGAACTGTAAATAAACACCTCTATCAATGATGTAGCTGAAAGTATTGGTACTACCAAGTACTAAATAGGTACATGTGACAGGATTTGATGATTGGTTATGAAGCTACAAAAGTCAGGTACATACGGAATAGTGCGTAAAGGTGCCTTAGGTGGCTACCAGGGTAAAGTGGCGTGATGTGAAATCCGCGTTGTTGCCATTCGTTGGTCCAGAGTCGCCAGGGGTTCCTGGAAATGTCCCACACGCCCGCGCATGGTACTAGTTGGTACTGTTTGTTAGTTTGGTCTTTCAAGACCGGAGAAAATCAGCGGCGGGCGGATCGAGCTACCAAAACGAAAGGCACCTCCTAGTCTACTCCGTGCTTCTCTTTTTTCCACCCGCTCGAAAGTTTAGTCTATCCCTCAGATTTGTCCGTTACCTCTCAAACTCGAAGAAGCGTCTCAGCTATCTCTAATCCGCCGAATTTCTTCCAAGAGGCCTCGGAGGGTGCCTCTGTCCGAGACACTTTCCCTTTCATGCCATTATTTCCCCCTTCGTTTACCTGGTGACCCCTACTGTTCCACAATCATGGGCCTCCTAGCTGTCATTCTCGACAGTGTGTGTGAGCGCTGCTCAAATTCATCGCTATGGATGCTCACCGGTGTGGCATTGCTATCCATGCTCATTGTGTCTGTGATTATTAATGTCTTGCGGCAACTTCTCGTCAAAAATTCTAATGAACCCCCCTTGGTCTTTCATTGGTTCCCTTTTATTGGAAGTACCATCAGCTATGGCATGGATCCATACAGATTTTTCTTTAAGTGCCGAGAAAAGGTACGCTAACCCTGCGGCATTCATTGATTTCGCTCACATGCTTACTACCACAGTATGGCGATATCTTCACTTTTGTCCTCCTCGGTAAGAAGACAACCGTCTATCTGGGCACCAAGGGCAACGATTTCATTTTGAATGGCAAACTTCGAGATGTTTGCGCCGAAGAGGTTTATTCCCCACTTACAACTCCTGTGTTTGGGCGTCATGTGGTATACGACTGCCCAAATGCTAAACTTATGGAGCAGAAGAAGGTACGCAAAGTTCACCGCAATAGTAGCAACACTAATTCATTTTATTAACAATTGTAGTTTGTGAAATTTGGACTTACATCAGATGCACTCCGTTCGTACGTTCGTTTGATTACAGAGGAAGTGGAAGACTTCGTACAGAAGTCCTCGGCATTCCAGGGCCCCAAAGGCGTTTTCGATGTCTGCAAAACAATTGCTGAGATTACCATATACACCGCCTCACGTTCGCTTCAAGGAAAAGAGGTTCGAAGCAGATTTGACTCTACTTTTGCTGAACTGTACCATGATCTCGACATGGGTTTTGCCCCCATAAATTTCATGTTACCATGGGCCCCTCTACCCCATAACCGCAAGCGTGATGCCGCCCAGAAAAGGATGACTGAAACATATATGGAGATTATAAAGGAACGCCGTAAGGCTGGCAGCAAAAAGGATTCGGAAGACATGGTTTGGAATCTCATGTCCTGCGTGTACAAAGATGGGACACCTGTCCCCGACGAAGAAATTGCCCACATGATGATCGCCTTACTCATGGCCGGCCAGCACTCTTCGTCATCTACTGCCGCTTGGATTGTCCTGCATCTTGCAGCATCCCCTGAAATAACAGAAGAGCTCTATCAGGAACAACTCCGCATCCTTGGACGCGACATGCCTCCACTCACTTATGAGAACCTACAGAAATTAGACTTGCACGCCAAAGTCATCAAAGAAACTCTTCGCATACATGCACCAATCCACTCCATCATTCGAGCTGTGAAGAATCCGATGCCAGTGGAGGGTACCCCCTACGTGATCCCGACCTCACACAATGTCCTTTCCTCTCCTGGCGTCACTGCAAGATCAGAAGAACATTTTCCTGATCCGCTTGAGTGGAACCCCCACCGCTGGGATGAGGCCATCGCTGCTAGCTCTGAAGATGAGGAAAAGGTTGACTATGGCTACGGCTTGGTTACTAAAGGAACCAACAGCCCGTATCTTCCATTCGGCGCCGGGCGACATAGATGCATTGGCGAACAGTTCGCTTACGTGCAGCTCGGTGCGATCACAGCGGCTCTAGTGAGGTTATTCAAGTTCAGCAACCTTCCAGGTGTTCAAACCCTTCCAGACACTGACTACTCAGTAAGCGACGCCACTGCAACCTATAGTACCTCACTAACCGAATTATAGTCATTATTTTCCAAGCCTTTGGGCAACTCAGTGATACAATTTGAGAAGCGCGAGCCCGTCACCAAGACGTAGTGTTCCTTCGACCTGTGCAATGTACAATATCCGTGGTCAGATTCCTAATGTTTGTGGGAGATGACTCTGAAACTGCTTGGAAGCAGACTGAGCAGAATAAAGGTGGAGGGACGCTTTACACATTTGTATTATGGCCTCTTGTTCCGACATCCACAATGCCGCCGAACGATCTATGTAAATTATCTTTTGCATTTAATACCGGGGGCTGATTTTCAGGAAGCTCCATTTTCCTATTAGACCATTTTAATTCAACGTTATGACCTAAACCTGACAATTGGAAGATATCACCTAACAGCGCACGCGGATCAATGTGTACAGTTCTACAGTGCCAGAAAGTGTGCACTCCGGTAGTATAGCTCCTAGTCAGTGAATTGATGTTATTGCGATTCAAACCCCAAAAAAGTACAGTAAACTATTATACAGGTAAGACAATCATTCGCCGCAGTTCTCATAAATTCATGAGATTTATGCTGTTCCCTTCCTCCTTTCCTCACTCCTCTTTTTAGCCCTAACCTCGGCACGTCTCCTTTCACCACCATCCACCTTGTGTCCCAACTTGTCCTCCCACATGCCTTCCTGGACTTTTATTAGAGCTGCGCAGTTATCTGTGCCTTTGATTGGTCGTAAGAATGGTCCGCTAAGCATGGAACCACGATGGATCTTCATGTGCGCGAACTTTTTGAGCGGTTTCGATGGGTCGTGTGTATATTCGGAAGCATCAGGTGGCAGATTGACAATCACTTTCCTCATCCCTGGAGAGAGCATGGCCGAGGAGTTGGAGGGGCCTGAGGTTTGATTGTCCGTTGTCAATGGAACCTCAACTACGCGCAATTGGGCTGTACCATCAACAACATGTTCCAGGTCACCACCCGGCCCAAAGACTCCATTCCTGAATTTCTCCCTTTTCCGGAGCAGATAACGCCGTTGACGAGTCGGCTCAATGCCAATATCCCGGAGCTCAGCAGAGCTGAGGGTAAACAGCTTCTCCCATGAAGGCAGCTTGCTCGCATGTTTAGTCATGCCACGGCCAATCAACGTAAGAAATGTTTCGACGTCAGGGACAAATGGTGTTGGCGAAGGCACAGAAGGCGTAGATGCGTGTTTATGGAAGCATCGCACACATTGTTTGCCGATGGTCAGAGGTCTGATGAGTCGTGAAGATAAAAGAAACGAGCTACGCATCGCCATAATCGGTCGCATTGATATTTTCCAGTAAATGGTGGGTCAAGATTACGCTTGCAAAATCTGGTAGACAGGAAGCGAAAGGAAGAGATCGGGATGTAGGCAATGGAAGCCAGATAATTTTGCTGTATCAAGAAAAGAACAAAAGCTGACTTTCCACTTGAATTGTATTGTCCACGGTTGGAGAAATTTCGGTGACGGCCGCATTTTCAGGATCAACAAAACTCCGAGACTTGGTAATTCATGCTTAGTACATAGAGTAAGTGCCGCCCACCACAAACACACTGACATCAAGAAGCATATATTGCTGTGAATGAGTAGAGCAATAAAGAAACGAAACGGAAAGCATTGTAATGCTAAATTTACGCAGCACAATAAGATTCGGCTGGTACTAAAGCTATCAGACAGCAAATCCATGGTCGGCACTTTATAACTTATCAGTTTATGGCGGTCTCCCGAGCTATAGCCTTGAAGTACGGTCAGAAATACAAGTTGACTATCTCATCGATCTTCAAGCCATGGCAATTTCACCTTTACCACCCCAGTCTCCATCAACCGCGACGGCAGCTTCCGACTCCGCAGTTAAGTTCAGAGCTGCTCAGAGCTCAGCCAATCCCCAGGGCAACACATCTTCGCCTTTAATCACGCACAGCACTGATCGTGAACTAACTGAACAATTAAATGACGATGTGCGGCATAAGTATATCAAAGGTGAGATATGTCGCCCTTCTTCGTGCATACTTATGATTCCTCTTAAATGTCTCATGGCACTAATGAACGAGTCGATAGACAAGAAGCTAGGGGAAGGAACCTATGCCGTCGTATACCTTGGTCATCTTCGAGCTGATGCTTCGTCCTTCGTGGCAATTAAGAAGATCAAAGTCAATGCTGAATACAAAGATGGGCTTTCCATGGATGCAATCCGGGAAGTGAAATATTTACAAGAACTGTCACATCCAAATATCATAGCGCTCCATGATGTCTTCTCCTCCAAGGACCAAAACCTCAACCTGGTTCTAGAATATTTGCCACGTGGTGACCTTGAGATGCTCATTAAAGACGGAAATATTCATTACGGCGCAGCTGATGTTAAGGCGTGGATGGGAATGCTTGCTAGAGGTGTCTGGTTCTGCCACGAAAATTTTATTCTCCATCGAGATATAAAACCTAATAATCTTCTCATCGCTACCGATGGAGAGGTGAAACTGGCAGATTTTGGTTTAGCTAGATCATTCGCTGACCCTTACTTGAATATGACACACCAAGTTATCACCCGCTGGTATCGGCCGCCTGAATTGCTTTATGGAGCACGACAATACTCGGGCGCTGTAGACATCTGGTCCATGGGAATGGTTTTTGCGGAGCTCCTCTTGCGAGTACCATTCGTCGCAGGAAATTCTGATCTCGATCAGATATCCAAAGTTTGCGAAGCATTTGGCACGCCAACTGAAGACAACTGGCCAGGAGTCACTAGGTTGCCCAATTATATACCCGCAGATAAAAATCACATTGTTCCTATACAGGGTCGTGATTTTTTCTTCAGACAGTTCCCGACTGCTGGTCCTGTCGGCGCAGATTTGCTCATGTCGATGTGTACACTGGATCCGAGAAAACGGAGCACGGCACGTCAAGTTTTACAACACACCTGGTGGTTCACTGAGCCAAGACCGACAAATAAGGAAGATCTCCCCAAAAAATCGGATGGAATCCAGAAAATGGGCAACGATTTGACGAGAAGAGGCGGAGATATTGACGACAATACATTCAAGAACGCTGCCCGACAATTGGATTTTAACGCAAAGCATTAGCAGATCTGTTTCATCTAACTGGAAGCGCCATCGGATTTAGTACGACACCAACGCGTTTTGCTCATGCCCTTGAAGTACACCAGATGATATACCATTGTCTTATCATCTGCGTAATTAGTCGCCGGGCACATGAAGCTTAGTGCCTAGCAGGGCAACCCAAGAGCCATCTAGACAAACTATTTCCTAAATTCGGGTTCGTGTTGCCCATGAAATTCCTTTTTGTTTTTTTTTGTCGGCAGCTCCGTCAGAAGCTAATTTCTGTTGAACAATTTCGGTGATCAGACCACTAGTAGTCTGTGCACTCCAGACCCGGCTGTCCAGGGTCAATTTATCCGTAATGTATGATGTACCACTCGAAAGGAACTGGAAGTACGGACTAAGCTACCTAGGTAGCTTGAGTAAAGTTACTTGGGAGAGTCACTCGTGACTGACTCTCTTCGCACCTCTTAAAGCGAAGAAGTATATTACGCGTTGATTGGTCCCCTTTTTCCCGTTTCCTTGCACTAAGTGTCTTAGCCCACGGTTTCTTGTTCCCCAGAGCCCCAGCAGGCGCATCATCATAATCTTAAATTTCATTAATTTATTACACCAGGATTTGTATGTATCTGTATACGATATGTATTAATATGTGTGTATATGTGTATGTACTGTGAATTTTTGTATTCAACGCAAGGGTGCAGGATGTTCACTCAATGTATGTAACTCCGTAGCAAATTGCCCAATGACACGAAATTTTGCTCCGTAGGGAATGGATGGGTTAGATTACCTGTCTGGACAACTTCTGGTTTGCGACTAAAGAAAGTAAATCTTGAAATGCAAGCACCACTCCTTCAAATTCTCAATAGGCCCTTTCATATTGAAATTGACCTCGAACACTATGCAAGGCGACTAGCCTCGAAATAAGAATGAAGGAAGAGGAACCAATTCTAGTGTTTTGTACGGAGTCTGGTTACGTGAAACACCAGAGACACAACCACATTGGACGATGATAGACTCGCCGGCTACTACTAGTGCCTTAGGTACCTACCGAGTAACTACACCGTAGCAGAGTAATTACTTGGTAGGTGTACTCATAACAACCACAGGTAATACAGTTATTCAAACGAACAGTACGATCAAGAGACAAACAAATCTCAACTACCTCTTGTGGGGTGTTCACCTTTCAGATCGAACAACTATCATGTTACTATGATTACTTTAATCATATAATACTGGGACGGACTTCGATCATTTTGCATATTCGGTCCAAGGTTCCTCTTTCCTAGATTCCCCCTCCAACTACTAAAGGGAGCGAAAGGAAAACCGGAAGAAAGAGGACAACGCTCAATCCCCTTTCAACAGGGGCCGCTTATCCGCCGTCCCGCACCCTTAAGACGTGACTAAACAACCAACAAGAACGGTAGCAACTCTCGCTGAATTCTATCCCTGAGCCAACGCCTCGTGGTCGTCCGCAAACGCAAGTACCGGTTGGTGCTGTTACGGCGCATCTATCGGGCCCGTCAATCTGGCCACGCTTGGTCAGCGGTATCTTCAATTAACCTGACGCCATTCTTTTTGCCTCCCGATCTGATTATCGAATGACTGTTATCCTACATCTCATAAGTGGTAGAGAGCGGAACAGCGGCGGCAATACCAGTTTCGATAATTTGTGCAGGACGAATATCTGGACCGTGGTTCTTGTAAGTTGTTTGGGGTGCGGAGATTTCCGCCACAAAAGCCAAAAACACCGACGGGGGCTTTACAAGAATCAACTCTAATTATTTACTGTGAGTTTTTGCCCTCAAAAGCCTTTAGCTATAATCCATTCCATTATTTCCCCATATCTGTCTTTCGCGTACTTTTCTGTTGCGGCACTGTGTATAGCGGGACGGAGAACCGCCCGTGCGTGAGGAGGACCACCAAGATTGGCAATGCTCCTTCAGGTACATCCATAAACTTGGCCGGTGTCTAGGTTGAGGTCTCGACCTCATATTCCCACGATATAGCTTATGCACCAATACTTTCAGATGCTAATTCTAGCGCTTCAGCTATCAGAGGTCTACTCTGTAAGATCAAGAGACTCAGCAACGAAACGCATATCTTGAAGCCTCTGCGTATGGCCGCCGTGTTCCTTGGTTGATTTCCAAGATACACCGTCATAATAGGTCAGCTCCAATTACGCTTGCCTGATAACTGTGCGAAATCTGCACATCCCATGTCTACGTTACCCCAACCGTCGCGGCCTGCCGCGAACCCTTCGACGGGGTCCTTACCCCCGCTCTCAGCACCAAAATCGAGGAGGAGTTTACCAGTCTCATCTGACCACGCGAGGGCGCCTTCTCCGTCCCAGATTTCTTCCAAAATACGTGCCTCTCCTAGCCCAAGGCCATCACTTAATAAGACTGCACTGTCTAACTCGGCCTCCAATCTGAGCTCCTCCAGGTCAATATCCGCGGGCCGAACTCCAAGCAGTCCCGATAAATCGCTACGCAGGACTATTAGTATTGCGGCATTTCCCCAACCACCAAAGACAGGAAGTCGTCCTTCCACTGCATCATCAATATCAGGTATTCAGAGTCTTCGCTCCTCTGGCAGTGTGAAGGTCAAAAGGAACTCTAGGTTAAGTGTGGGGACCAGCAGCAGCTACCGAAGTTCACAGACCCCGTCCTTACTGAATGGCGGTGATAATAAATCAATTGTTGGTACTGAGACCCGAGATCCAGAAGCTTCACCATCGCAAAGCCGGAGCTCTTCTGCCCAAGGGTCATACTCGACAAGCGCAACCACTTTCGAGGATGCAGATGATGTAACGGGTGCCCTCAAGCCTCATTCGAAGCCTAAGGAGGCCAAAGGGAACGTTATAGTTAGTGTTCGAGTGCGCCCTGATGTACATGGCACCGAGACATCAAAAACAAATAGCGAATGGGCAGTGGATGCACGTCATAGCCTTATCACGTTTAGCGGAAAGGAAGGAGGCGACTATTATTATGGTAACAATAGCCCCTCAGCCAATCTTTCTGCACAAAGGCTTACCCTTATATTTCAGATAATGTTTTCTCTCCCCATGAACATAACGCCAAAGTTTATGACTCTGCGGCAAAACGCCTCGTGAGAAGGGTAATGGAAGGTTATCATGGTACCGTCTTTGCATACGGCATGACTGGAACTGGTAAAACCTTCTCAATGCAGGGAACTGCTACCTCTCCAGGGGTAATCCCACTAGCAATAACCGACATATTTTCCTTCATTAGGGAGACTCCACATCGAGAATTCCTGCTTCGAGTTAGCTACCTTGAGATCTACAACGAGAAGATCCATGACCTCCTCTCAGCCTCTACTTCTGGCGGTGGTGGTTTGCCTCTCCAGCAGGAAGAAATAAAGCTGCGCGAAGATAGTAAACGAGGCGTGTATGCTACTCCACTGAAAGAAGAGATCGTACAAAGCCCGACACAACTTCTTCGTGTAATTGCGAGGGGTGACCATGCAAGAAGAACTGGAAGCACGCAGTTCAATGCTCGCAGCTCCCGAAGTCATGCAGTTGTCCAAATCGTTGTTGAGAGTAGGGAACGAGTGCCCGCGGGCGCCACTCAGGACAGGCGATCGGGCATAGCCCCGGGAGGAGTCAGAGTATCCACGCTTAGCTTGATAGACTTAGCAGGATCAGAACGGGCAGCTGACGACAAGGAACGGCGCACAGAAGGTGCTCACATAAACAAAAGCTTACTTACCCTTGGGACTATCATTTCAAGGCTTTCGGAAACTAAGGACAAGGCTGGTAACCCGACTGATCGCGAGGGCAGACACCTGCCATATCGTGATAGCAAACTCACGAGGTTGTTACAGCCAGCTTTGTCAGGTAATTCACTAGTTAGCATTCTTTGCACTGTTCATCTTGGCGTAACCGGCAATTCGAATTCTGGCGAAACACTCAATACTTTGAAATTCGCGGCGCGAGCTAAAAACAATATCGTCAGCCACGCCAAACGGGCGGAAGAAGCGCTTGGTGGTGGTAGCAGTGACACAGGCAGCCGTGTGCTTTTAGAACGCTACCGAATGGAGATTCAGGCCCTTCGAAGCCAGCTCGAGAGTCAAACGAAAGCACAAGCTGAGAAAGAGTTGAAATTGGAAGAGCAGCAATTAGAAAAGGAGGCACAGGCACGCCACGAAGAGCAAATGTTGGAAATGCAGTTAGCTCGAACCGCTCTCAAAGAGCGCATAGAGCATCTCAATCGGCTCATTCTTTGTTCCAAATCCACTGGTGTGAACAGCCAGGGAGCGATGTCTACTCTCGGTCGACTATCAAGAATGTCTGCCGCCGAATCGGTGGCTCGATCTTTACGCTCTTCAGTCAGTCAGTCAACATTGGGTGCATATGGGGCATCGTCTGTACGGCCTGCATCATTCCTCTCCGTCAACAGCAACGAAGCTTTACCTTTTTCGAGTGGTTCATTTGGCAACGATGAGGAGGAAGATATCGTGGGGGAATTTGCGGACGGAAAAGCAAGCGCTCAGAGGCAAATCATAGCCCTTCAGGCCGATTTGAGTGACAAAAATCGGTATATCTCCACTCTAGAGAGACGCCTCTTGCAGGCCCGGCGGTCCAGCCATTCGCGAATGTCAATAGGCGTTAAAGTTGGGAGTGCAACTTCTGAAAATCCAGATATGGCGGCTTTGCTACGTGAAAAGGATATGGAAATTAATGAACTTCGACAACAGTTAGACGATAAGGACCGGATGCTCGCTGCGCTCCGCTCTGCTGCCCGGCATCGAGACCTTGCGCATCTCGCTACCGATACAGACCTCAAGGAAAATGGTGAGTATCGAAGTGCCGACCCAGATGTGAGCGATTCGCTAGCTAGCGACCATATGGCTAGTATCCCTCTGCCTCACAAGGAGGACGAACTAAATGACAGGAAAAATATGGATGATGAAATGTCACGAATCCTCAATGAGATGATCCAAGATCGGGTTGACAGTGGCCAATTAATCAAGGGTTCCCATGGGAGTGTCCGTATCGCTACCGAAAGTCGACGGCCTTCTGACACCACGACGCCTGTTCAAAGCTTAACTCCAAGTAGCACTATCCATGACAACATCGATCATGATTTCCAACCGGGTTAACAGACATCGCTTTGCTTGTCTTGCATCCTTAATGTTCCCGGCATGCTATGATGGACTTGACCCATAACGGGAGTTATCTTTCGCTAATTATCTCCCACCCTTTCTATTTTTTTATTTATCTTATTTTTCTATTTTCTTTGTTTTTCTATTTTCTTTGTTTTTCTATTTTCTTTGTTTTTCTATTTTAAATCTCCCTCGCGCTTCCTAAAACTTTTTATCCCACATTATGTCCCCTTCGGTTTTCTCAGATACCCAGGCTGCTATTTCCGTTGTTTGGTGTTTGCCCTTACGATATATCATTTAGTGCAAGGCTGGAAGGAAATAGTCAACATGTACCCTTGCTTCATCATTCTTCATTGAAAAGGCTCAAAATGCAATATGAGCGCTTCGAATGCTATCATGTGGTTTCATTTCCAGGCCCTCTTCGTCCTCCACACCCAACGAGCTCTTCCCTACGGCCGTCCTATAATGGCTGCTGTGGATAATGTCGGACTAGTTGAGGCAAATATAAACATTGCTTTATAATTCTAAAAGATGCAGCTAGAGAAAATCTTAACATGGAACCAGATGAGTTCTCGACTTAATGATAATGTGCCTTTCACAAAAGACACATCCAGCCCTCTCTTCTTTCTTCTGTGGCGCTATGGGTTAAGATGCAAAGCTGCAACACATGTAGTGAAGGCAAGGAGTGATCCTGCATTAGAAGAGTCATATCACGCAACGATCTCGAGTTCAGAAGTCCTGTCCCTGGCATAAACATCTTTCCATTGCTCCCATAATCTTGCAAGCTCCTGCACATACTTGGCATGCAGATAATCGATATAATCGTCATCGATCTTATTCCTATTTTGCTGCTGAACAACTTCAATGGGACAGCCAACAACAATGTTCAATGGGCGACGGTAGGGCATTAAACCCACATCATAATTAAAGACCCCACGAGCATGAAACAGGGGGATTGTGAAACCCATAGTATGCTTTATGAGCATTTGAAATCTGTGTATCAGGGGGTGTTGGTCCGAACGCACTTGTTCATACAGATCATTTTCGCCGAATGCTAGCACTGGAACAAGATCGGCACCAGTACGAATGGCAAGCTTAATAAAACCTTTCCGTCTCTTAAGTACAAGACGAAGCGTGTGTGGTAATGCATCGAGGGATTCGCGGGCGCCACCAATGACAATAGTGATAGCACGCCCCATGCCTTCGCCATCGACGCCACCTTTAGTAAGAAGATTCTCGCATGACTCACGCGAGACGCTAGCAACACCCATAGCAAGAGCATACTCCCGATAAAAAGGGATCCGAAAATTAGAGTCGAGGGTAAGCAAGGTATTCGTAATTCCCGGAAAGAGTTTAGAGAAACCGAGCGCCTCCGTCGCAAAGGCCGCGAAAGCGCCGTGTGATATGATTCCATGAGGGTGATACCCAAATATATATTTCCGCGTTGGCAAAAGACGTTCAGATCGATGCAAACGGGCCGGGAAATAAGACGCATAAATTGACCAGATTCGTGAAGATCGCAAGTAATCGCTCCGGCCACTCAAGGTCCCAGACGTGGCAGCCGTTGAGAAGAGCGATATATAAATTAGATAGGGTAAGAGAATAGGCCAGGATAATGGTATAGCACACGCGAAGAAGAAGCTGGTAAGAAAAATGGCGATAGTCAAAGTATGACACAATACCACAAATGTTTGAAGGCGACGTTCCAGACCAATGTTTAGTGGTGCCCAGCGGATGCTAGAATTCCAGAGTCAGACTCCACAGGCTATAAATTCGACTCCTTTCATCAAGACCCAGACCTAAAGGAAAAACTCACCCCATCTTTTTGGTTTTTCCAGGTTCACCAGAAGTACTAGAGCTGGAACTCTCTGCAATTGCGGATAATTTGTGGTTATGGGAAGACATCATATCCCGCTCACCCTGTGATTTATGAACACCATTTCTTACAGAAGCCCTGGGTATTTCTCCTGAAGAGTCAGAGCTATAATTGCTGTCCTGACATTGGCTGTTTCCATTTGAAATCTCGTGCCTTCTATTACCGCTTTTCTCGGGTGTTATCGAGCTCGATCGAAGTTGATGACTTATGTCCGGAGTCACGACCATATCGGAATCGATAGCAAGTGCAACACTCGTTTGACTGATGGATAGCCCGCGATATCAAGAACAGCCAGTGTCACTTCAGGATGTAAGCGATTTAGTTTTGGGGGATATTCATTGAGCTAAACCCACAGGAAGCGGCTTAAGTATTGTGTAGTTATGTATGGATGACAGGCGCCTATAGTTGCCGTTGCTCAGATGTAAGATGATTATATATGGCCAAAGTATCAAAAGTATCGAAGCAACTATTTCAAGTCAGATCGCGGGTGATCATGTTGCACCTACGGGAGATAGAAGGAGCCTTCGGCACTTTCAACTTTCAACTTTCACGTGAAGAATGACAAACCTTTTACAGACGTCATTACAGTTAGGTACTACGTACTTTAGGGTCGGCCGACGACGATCACCAAATACCCCAAAGTCCAACTCAGGGCTGCGATAACCACCTCCTAGAGTTAGCTTTATATGTAAGATCGTTGCTTGAAATGTGCCCCTTAAAATTATAAAGGTTACTAACTTCACGGGACACTGGGCTAAATATTGTATATAGGTCATCGTGACTGCTTAAGGCCTCCTCCTTCCTAGCAGCATTGAAAGCTATTATAAAACTTACTCAAAAGGTCAGGAGAAAGCCGTGGACTGTATTAAGCGCCTCCCAAATCAATACCGAGGTTCTTCATTAACATGTACCCAACACCCCTGAGTATTTAGGTCAAACTAAAAAGACCGTGCTTATAGTATGAAAAACATATAAATATTATGTTAGAGCTTTCTATTATGCATAGATGTAACATACTGCGTGGAAGTTTCATGATTAGTGAGTGATAATACTAATAACGTAATCGGTAAGCGAACAGGTCACCTCTATATGCCATAGAAAAAGGCATATTTCTGAATAAAAATATCCCAACCAATTTAAGTTCTATCTATGTTAAAGTTTAGATGTAATCTATCCTATACTAGAATAATAGACCATTGAATCTAGGGATTCTAACAATTTTTAATCACCAGGGTAAAATAAATTACTATAAATTTTATAATATAGTTTTAATCTACTGTTGTGCCTATAAGCACCGAGAGTATTGTAGAGGAAGTTGTTTTGTTCATATGGGTCCTCAGCAACCGATAACCAGTTGCCGCACCGCTCTATCTACCGCTTTCTGGCAGAATACATGAAAGCCACAACAATTCCCCCAATCTTTTAAGAGCTGTGTCCACACAGCTTAATCGACTAAGCAACAAGCCCTTATAGCAATTTAGTGGGCAACAAGAACGCATTTCTAAGGAGCAGGTAGACGCATGTTAAGCGCAGAGCGCAATAAGCGACAAAAGCATGAGGGAAAGTACAATATAGAAAAGAAGCCAATAAACACCTAGCAAGTGTTGCAAAAGCGAAGAGTAAGTGTAAGGAGGATTCAACACTGCAATAGCTGTGTATCGAATGTCTTAGAAGAGCCCTTGTTCAGTGAGATACTCTTCGAGAGAATCGATTTTTTGCTGCTTGGTAAGTAACTCAGTATTGACCCTTTCTAATCGCTGTTTAAGCTTAGCAATCTCCTCATCTCGGTTCTTAAGCTGCTCAGCGTTCACTTCCTTCAGTCGCTGCCTAAGTATAACGGTTTCCTCATTCCGTTTACCCCTGAGGCTATTGAATACTTCTTTGGTTTCCTTCTACAGTCTCTCATAAAGCCCTTTAAGCTTTCTTATAGACGAAGGTGTGTGTGACTGTTCTCCTGTATTGAGTTGATCGTTCGGGCTCGGCGGAGTGGTGACTTGCTTTATATTGAGCCGATGGTCGGTAAGTGGATTGACCGGTGGTGTGGTGTTAGTCAAGTCGATTGCCCCGACCGCTTCTTCGGTATTTGGGGGTTGAGGTCGGTAGACACCTTCTTGGATTGCTAGTTGTCGATCTTTTATATACCGCAAGTCTTTTCCCTGGTGTGTGTTGGTCTCCGCGACGCTCGTAACTCCCGGCATAAACAGGATGTATGTAGGGAATTGCGTGAAGTCAACGAGTGGTGGTTTTCCGTATGGCGAGGGTAAATTGTTGTATTCTATTGCTTTCATGAAAGCCACAACATCTACTCTGTAGACTTCTTAAGGCATGTTTTCTATTGATATATACTCTGTATTAAGTCGTATATGAATAATATCTATATTAATATTATATGAAGAATTAGGACTGATATACTAAATAGTGGTCGAGATATTGATATTTGAATTTATAGTTATTCCCTTTTCTATGGAATACAAAGGTGACCGGTACGCTTATCGATTACGTTTAGTAAGATTTAGTTAACGTATTCGGTAAACGAGCGGCCACTGCAAGCCAGCGGCCAGCTCTGGTATTCCATACAAATTGGCACTTTTTGACACTCGAATATCTCAGCAACCAGAGATAGTAAGAATATAAAATTTAACGTATAATATAAGAGTCACTATATAAGTTAATTACTAATTTTTTATAATTTTCTTCTTTTCGTTTTAAGCTACAAGTCCAGATTATCAAAAATACAGCTGTAATATACAATACTAACTAAACTATCGACTATATTGACTTTTCTATTATATACATAGTATATTATACATAACTATTTATCCTCCTTTAATTTTATATTCTTACTATCTCTGGTTGCTGAGATATTCGAGTGTCAAAAAGTACCAATTTGTATGGAATACCAGAGCTGGCCGCTGGCTTGCAGTGGCCGCTCGTTTACCGAATACGTTATACTTCATAGGTACATAATAATTGTGTTACTGTGCCTTTGAATCACCTTGCGCTTTTCCCACGTGATCTCATGGGTGCTCCTTGGTACATGTATTTATTAACAAATGAAACCGACATACAATTGATATCTATGAAATATAACATACATACTTCCTCGTGGAGATATAATGTCGTGCCACTTAAAAACCAAAGCACCTCATCGTCCTTCCAACAATGATAGACTTCCTGGTCAGAGATGGCATTATTATGATAGCCTAATCCTCCAGACAATGCCCCGTAATCCTAGACACTTGTATCATATGCCGAGCAGTTTATTGGTTTGACCAGCCATGTATAGTATCATATAGTTTAGCTCAGCCAAGATGGAGAGCCATATATGCATAACAACCTATAAAACTTCGTGTCCTTGATCAAAATTGCAGATGTATAATTCTGCCATAGAACAAGGGGGTATATAGATACGGTGCGTCGTGATGTTCAGCTTTCTCTATTGGCACGAGAATCGGGATACTGGGACTTGGGCTATTTTTCTGCACAGAATGACCGCAAAGAGGCACTGTAATGTGCTACACGGTCCTTACCTTGACAAGATTATGTAGCCAGGGAACACATAATGTAAAGTAATTCATGACTTAACCATGAATATCTGTGTCTGTTAGCTTCAGGTCCACGGTGGTAGAAAATGATTGAATTACCTCGTTGAGAGACCTATCATCCATGAGGGCTTTCTTCTTTTGTGCAATGTGTCGACCTCGGAGAAGATGTCTCCCCATAGGTCGGCGTTCCTTTGAAAAAATCCTAGCAACTTGGGATGATGCATCTCGGGATTCGTTGACAGTGGCTTCTAGGCTAGTTTCCAAGATCGCCTTTTCGGGGATTTCAGAGTCTGTAGCGCTAGGCTCATCCATGTGCTTCCTCTTCTTGGCCTTCCTGTCTTTTTTATCCTTCTTTCCCTGTTTGTCCTTCCTATGGCGTTTGTCTTTAGACCTGTAGGCGTCCTCCGCAATAGGGATAGATGAAACTTTTTCCTCTCTAGGTGCCTTGAACGAAATATCTTCCATGGAAGTGTTCGCGTCGTTCTCACTCTTTTGCAGATCTAAACCACTTTGGATTTTATGTGGACCATGCTGAGCTCCTGGGGTTTCCTTCCGAGGGGAGAGGGAGACAAGCTTTTCTTGCGCCAACAAACCGCCGCTGATGAACCTAACCGTATGCCATTTTGTTGCAGCATACCGTGCTATCTTCGCATCTTCGCGCTTTTTCTGCTCGGCTTCCAAATCTGCATCAGATTTTCCATTCAAACGACCCAATAAACCTTTGAAGGCATCAAGTCCAGTAGGTTCATCGAGAGGGTCACGCTTAGAGCGCGCCCCAAGGCCAAGTGTATCATCCTTCACAACAACCCTAATATGAGATGCGCTCGCAGCAGTGAACATATCAGCATGAGCGGCATTGCGTGCACCTAGAAAACTGCCAGGAGTCCACCCCTGAGAGCTCATAATCTTGTGGCCATAGCCGCTAGTGGATCGGGACCAATTTGTATTGTTTGGATCATTGGAGATTTTCGTCCTCCTTATAATATCTTGCTGTCAGTATTTAAGTTATTCAAATATCCGAGGTGCACCAAAATCACATACTTGCGGGGTGCTGCTAATCCCATTTGCAATGTTATGTATTACAATGAATATTGACTCCTTATTTTCAAGATACTCAAAGCAAGCAACAAAAGAAAAGTATAGAACAAAGGCGTGAAGCAACGAAATGATAGTAGACTGGCAAATTGATAATATAGAGAAAAAAGAAAAAGCAAAAGCCCGATAACAGACTTAATATAGACCGCCTACTGTTTTGGGGGTCCCACTTCTAATCAGTGGAGCAACTTGCCCTCTTTCAATATTGTATCAATATTCCCGGCAGTTTATGGCTCCCCAAGACTTGAGCCTGTATGAAAATGATCATTAGATACGTTGGATAGCCTATAATATGCCTAATTTGCAAGTTTTTTCTCGGGACAGTCCTCAGCGCACTCTTGCTATAACTACAACCGACTTCGTCTTAATCTTCAAACATGGCTCAACAGCTCCAGCAATCAATAAATCACCCAATAATGACCCACCACGGTGTCTCGTTGAATTTGCAGCGTTACAATCTGTTGACTTGAAAGACTACCGGGCTTTGAGTGACGGGTTTGGAACTCTTGGATTGATTACTTTGGGCGAGGAAGTCTTCCTCTGCATTGTTACTGCTCGCTCAGACGCCGCAGTAGTAAGACCAGGAGAAACAGTCTCAAAAATTGACAACGTTGACTTCTGTACTATCTCATTATCATCTCCTTCGATCGATAGTAGCTAATTAACTCAGTTTGCCTTAGTCATTCAGACTATGAGAATGGTCTTGAATACGAATCTAAATCCTCTTTTGCAACTGAGGAATTCAGTCGTGGACCCAGCCTTGAGAATAAGGAGATAGTTACTGATCACCCGTTCTTGGCCCTGAAGAAGCTCCTGAGTGACGGCAGCTTCTACTATAGTCTTGATTTCAACCTCACTGATCGACTGCAAGACCGGTTAGTCGATATAGGATGCCTATCGACCAAATAATCAAATGTTAGCTGATATAACGCTAGTTCGGAAAAGTCAACAGCTTTCGACATTGAATCTCTGGATGAGGATATGCTGTGGAACTCTTACATGATCCATCCGCTTCTTCTTTTCAGGAGCCATCTGTCGCCTGCCGAAAAGCTACGTCTCGACTCTTCCCAGATCCTTACATGTGTTATACGCGGGTTTTCTGGTACACTTACTATCCCTGCTTCAATCTCCATCCTGCCCCAGCTACGAACAAAATTTCCTTCCACATTGACCATTATTTCGCGACAGTCCTCTCGGCGAGCAGGTACAAGGTTTAATTCCCGAGGCATTGATGATGATGGCCATGTTGCCAATTTCGTTGAGACAGAGACAATTCTTTGGATCCCACCCAATATCACATTTTCTTATGTTCAAGTACGTGGCTCCGTGCCTATTTTCTGGGAGCAAGCTACTGGATTCCTACCTGGGCAACAGAAAATTGAAATAACTCGATCTAGTGAGGCGACTCGGCATGCTTTTAACAAGCATTTTGAGAATCTTGAATTAGAATATGGTGCAATCCATGTGGTTAACCTTCTCAGTAAGCTTAAATCCGGCGAGTCTGAGCTGTCGACGGAATTTTCAACCCAGCTCAGGAAGAGTTCTCTTAGCCAAAAAGCCGATTGTAACATATTATCCAATCATGCACTTTTGCGAGGAACTGAATTCGATTTCCACGCTGAGACTCGAGGTCCCTTGGGGTACGGAGCTAGCAGCCAAATAAAACCCCAGTTGTCAGATTCTTTGGATGGTTTTGCATATTTTCTGTCTGAAGGGATTAGTTCAGCAACTTCAGACGAGAATCAAAATGAACCGAGGAGTTCCTTTGTCATTCTTCAACAGGAAGGCGTGTTCCGGACAAATTGTTTGGATTGTCTCGACAGGACTAATCTTGTGCAAACCATCATCAGTTCCATGGCTCTGGAATCTTTTATCTTGCAGCGAAAAGGAAGACTAAACCCAGAAGTCCAGCTGAAGCACTCAACCCTTTGGGCCGATAATGGGGATGCTTTGTCAAAAATCTACGCAGGTACAGGTGCTCTGAAAAGTTCATTCACACGACATGGCAAAATGTCCATTGCTGGCGCCCTGGCAGATGCACGGAAGACCGCAACGCGGCTTTATGTCAACAATTTTTACGATAAAGCTCGCCAGAAAACAATAGACCTTTTATTGGGACGATTAACAGATCAATCGCCGGTGCATCTCTATGACCCGATCAACGATCTGGTTTCCGATGAGTTAGATAGGCGAGCGTTGGAATACTCCTCAACCAAGTCTATCAGAATCTGGACAGGGTCATTTAACGTCAATGGGAGACATCGTGGACCAGACGTCGACCTAGCTCCATGGTTGTGGGCAGGAATCAACGGGCAAGATGAGGACCCGACGATATTTGCTGTTGGCTTCCAGGAGATCGTTTCACTAAGTCCGCAACAGATAATGTCGACGGACCCTACAACTCGTAAGGTATGGGAAGTTGCTGTGGGGAACTGTTTGAACAGCCGTGCAAGGTCGAGAGGAACTGCGAAGTATGTCCTTCTGCGGAGTGGCCAGCTTGTTGGCGCCGCGCTTATGGTATATGTTAGAGAAGATGCACTGGGGGATATCAAGAATGTTGAAGGGAGTGTTAAGAAGGTAGGCTGCTACACAATTCCCATAAACACATGTCTGACAATGATCATGTAGACGGGCCTCTCTGGAATGGCTGGTAATAAAGGTGGTTGCGCAATACGCTTTGAGTACTCCAACACTCGGATATGTTTCGTGACAGCTCATCTTGCCGCTGGATTTGCAAACTACGATGAGAGAAACAGAGACTATGAGACTATATATCACGGACTCCGCTTCCAGAAAAATAGAGCAATTGAAAACCACGATGCCATTGTGTGGCTTGGGGATTTTAATTATCGAATCGGTCTCGACAACCAATTCGTCAGGGAACTTGTGGCACAGAGAGACTACCAAAAGCTTTACAACAACGATCAGGTATTGTAATTGCATAACTCTGGGATTTGCCTTTAATTAACGTCATGTTTCAGTTAAACCTACAAATGTTGGCAGGCAGAGCCTTCCCGTTTTATACTGAAGGGCACATTACATTTCCCCCGACATACAAATATGACATTGACAGCGATACTTATGACACATCGTGAGATCTGGCTTATCTTACGAAATCGGTATTCGGACTGACTGGTTGCAGAGAGAAAGCACGTATACCTGCTTGGTGCGATAGAATTTTGTGGCGAGGGTCATGTCTTCGTCAGATGGACTATAACACTGCAAACTTACGATTCTCGGACCATCGACCCGTTTGGGCCGCTTTCTCATGTATCATCAACGTCGTTGATGAAGGTGCGAAGGCTAGACTCAGGCGAGTGCTTTATACTGAGAGACGCAACGACCCCTACAACGTACTGTCAATGACAGTAGAACAAGCGAGCCTACAAAGTGAGGAACACATTCCACCCACGCCTATTGCTCCTGGTCTACCACCAGCTAGTTCAGATCATCATAGGTGGTGGCTAGAAAATGGTATGTAACCCAATCATTTGTCGCGTACTTTTGCATCGCATTGCCCTTCTTCATTTATTCTAATCGGGATCTTTAAAAGGGGCACTCGTAAAATCAGCCTTGAGGCCGCCTGGTGATGGATACAATCTCAGCATCCACCACAGCTCCAATCCCTTCTCTTCCAACAGTGACACGAGTTGGATCAATACTCATGGTTCCACTAAAAGACAAACTTTTACTAAGGATCAGGATACTGTACCGCAAGGCCCGCAACATTCCCCAAGGCTCAAGGTTCAGATTTCGCCAGTTGGTCAGGGTGTGGGGAGCCATTCATCGAGTTCCTTGGACAAAACAGTCAATAGATATACCGGACATCCGGGTAATGAGAAGGCTGCACCACCGATACCCCGAAAACCGGTTTCTCTTAGTTCAAAGCAATGTCTAACGGGATCCTGGCCAGTCACTAGCACCCCACAAGCAGTTGCTGATACGGAATCCATCTTCAAAGAATCCAATCCAATGGGACGGAATCTTGGAGGCAAAGTTAACACAGTCGATACACCATCTACCTCAACTGAGAGGTTATCAGATACTGGCTTGTTAAATGGCTTTTGGCTCGACAGACGGGAAGAACATGGACAAGCCAAAAGCTCACATACAAACCCACCAGTCAGGTCACCTCCGAGGTCTACAGGTGAAATTAATGATCTTCTTAGTGGAACTGGAGACGAAACTATTGAATGGGAGCCCCTTATTCCCCAGTGAAGCTGTTGTGACAAGAAGTCCGGGCCACGGTATTTCAGGGAGACGATTGAGACAGTGGAAACTGCAAATTCCACATAATGTTAGAATACGAGTCCATATTTATTTCTGCCAGATGTCGGCAGCATGGGAAACGTTAGCTATATTACATGCAACCGGTGTTACCTATCAGGCTGAAAAAAAAACTGCATTTCAGCTAGAACACATAATAGCACAGATATGCATATGGAAGGAGTAAAATATGCTATTCAACGCTCTATGGGTATAATAGCACGCCGCAACACCCACAACGTTTAACACACGATAGAACCATACCACGAATTTTTTTTTTCTTAGTAACATAGATGCCTTCCGTGCTCCTTGTTTCACCGCTATCAAAGAAGGGAAGGGAAGGGGAGATGAAAAAGGAAAACTGAATGATTTTGGATTTGGGCGCGCGATCCCACCCTGAGGCATGAGAAACCGATCTCGGCTATGCGAGAGGAAAAGCCATGCCCCCTAGAGAAGCTTGGATAGGTCAAGTTCAAACTTCTAGCATTCGCCCCAGGCTGCCTTGAAAAGCCGAAGGTATCGCAGAACATACAAGGCCCACTGACATATTTGGCGTTCACTTCCCATCGCCATCTAAGCACTTGGCCTAGCTTGAAAGAAAGTAGCAATGCACGCTATACCTATCGAAATGTGCAGTTTAGAGGTAGCAGCTAAAAGCTTAGATCCTATCACAAAACACGAGAAGCAAACCCGTGTTGCAGGACTGCTCTAGGCTTTTTTCCCACTTTTAAAGTTTTGTTCAATCTACGGTTACCGCCCGCCATCCACATGGCAAACGCACCCGGGTCGGACGCTCTTGTTCGCGGCTTTTTCGCTCCTAGAAAGACAAGTCAGCTTTCGGCATAGAACGAGACGAGGGGCGAATTGTGTTCCACTCAAGAAACAGGCTCCGAGGAACTGCTTGGCGAAACAGCGGGTGTAGGACGCACCTGTCGAGTCAGATTTTTTCTTAGGCTCCTCAGCAGGAACAGTGACAACGTCTTCGGGTACTGGCAGAGCTTCAGGGGCAGCGGCAGCTTCTGGGACAGGAGGATCCGGAGGCTGAGCTGGCTCAGGTGTCTTCGGCTTCTCCGGTATAGGCCACATATGCATAGTTATTGTCCAATCAGGTTCGATTACAGTTTCCCAAACCTGTGGAAGTATGATATCCCCGTTGGGGCCTATCAAATCATAGTGTCCCTCGGCGACGTGAGGCCCAATTACCTCTATGTGGAGAAAAGCCTGGCGGATGAGCTCTTCCATACCCTTGATTTAACAGAGTCAGATATAAAGCTCAAAGGGGGGATAAAAAGCAAGGATAAGAAAAGACAATAAAGCCTACCTGCCAAGTACAACACAGGTCAAAGGGGAAGCTGAACTTCCTCCCGACCGCATCTTTGAACTTTATGGGCTTTTTCTTTTCTGGGGGGGGCTTATCTGATGCAGCTGCCCTCGCGGCAGCAATAGCTTCTGCTGCTGCTGCATTGGCTGCTTCAGTGGCCGCGGCAGCAGCCTCTGCTGCCGCGGCTGCGGCCGCTTCCTCCGCCTCTTTCTTTGCTTGCGCTGCTTCTTCGGCAGCTTTCTGCTCTGCCTCCGCTCTAGCACGGGTAGCAGCTTCCTCTACAATCCTCATCTCATGAGCAGCACGCTCTTCTCTTGCGGCTTGTTCGGCGGCTTCTTGCTCCATTGCCGCTTGTCGTGCAGCTTCTCGCTGTTCCCTCGCTTCGCGTTCGGTCCTTTCTTCCAAGATCAACTTCTCCAGCCTTGCAATTGCTTCGTCCTTTGATGTATCCGTGGGTGGCGGAGGTGGGGAACCAGTTGATTCGGCCTGACTTGGAGATGGCACGCGGGGGTATGGATTGAAATATGACGAATGAATCATGCCAGGAACCATACCATACGGTTCTCTAAAGGGATAATAACCCCCTGGTCCATAAGGGACCAAGTCATGTGGACCCAGTGGGGGACCACCATAAGGTGATGGGCCATGAGATGAGAGAGAACGCGCCAATGGATGTTGTGGTGGATTATGCCCATCACCTCGCGCATGGGAAGGCGGGGTATGATGCGGATGGTGCCCCAAGTGATGGTCATGAGCAAAAAATGGCGGCATAGAGCCATGAGTTTGCTGCAGTTGATGATTATAGGCATAACTCGGATGGCCGTAAGGATTCGACTGAGCGGGATGTCCGTGGGGACCCAACCTTATAAGCTGGTCTGAAGGAGGCTGGTGACCGCTTTGGTGTGCATAAGCTGCATGCGGTGCACCACCACCCGGGTAAACATACGAGGGTACTGGAGAAGGGCTGCGAGCATACCCTTGGCCTTGGGTCACAGATGGCCAGATTCTCTTCTCATGAGATACTCGACCATAAGGGCTATCATACTCGTCCCCCGAGTCCAGGCTCTCTGGAGACTCGGGGGAAGGCTGGCGACGAGGACGACGAGTAAAATGTTCCCGTTCTTGTACAACATGACGTCTACCTGGGTGACGACGGGTTGAGGACGACCCATGAACCGTGTGACGACTACGGGCACGATGCGAAGTCCTAGGCCGAGACGCGGAATCAGATGGCTTCAACTCGTCTGGATATGGCAGGTGTGCCCATTCATCATATGGATCCTGATAGTCATGGCTTCCCGAGTCGGACGGCGGGGAGACTTGCACGCCGGAGGAGTCTTCTTCGTCAGAAAGTGAGGAATGATCGGAGCCGTGAGGGCTGGGACCAATTGTGATGTTGAACCTAACAACAATTAGGACCAAGATGCTATTGGGGGTGCAGGTGGAAGACGCACGCCATGGAAGCAGTTGCACCAAGAAATCTTCAGGTACTGTTGTTATTGCTCCTTGTGGAACAATGAGAAGAGAGTTATTGACTATGGTCGCTAGGATTAGGCCTGTAATTGAATGCGATTTCCTGCTTCGCGGAAGTACAGCGGAGTCTAGATGGAGGGACAGGATGCCCCCCATGTACCTGGGCAGCTGTATGTGAGCCGCAGGTGGCCGTTTGTAGACCCCGGGGTTAGGCTCAGAAATGCGTATAGAAAACTTTGCTATCACCCAAGATTCTTTGCAGTACGGCTAGTGGGCATCTTTTCATGAGCTGCGCAAGACGGGATCCTTGGAGATAAGTGATATTAAAAGAATGAATTCAAAACCAGGGCATATACCCCGCCAAGGTGAAATGTTGGGTGCGAATTGGAGGGAAGGGAAGGGTCACCGGGAACTCAAGCAGATATTCCGAAAGACGAGCCGAAGACAAGAGGTTCTAAGCGTGTGAGGGGTTGATGCAAGGAGCAAAGAAAAGTACCAGAGAAAACTGTGGAAGAACTTGACCTAACTCATTAGTCGACTGCCTGATCAGATAAATGATCGTTGGGCATGGCATGGGAAGATGATTCTAAAAGTTCAAGGTAATTAGGCACTGAGTTGTCAACCCTCTCTTTTTTTCATGCAGGCCTGCATATGCTGCCCAAGTGCCCAATCAACATTCAACCTTCGGGTCGAGTAACCACGATGGGGCGACAGCTGAAGCAGGTACGAAACGTGTCTCTGGAATTGTGCAGAAAGTCTTTAGTTAATCTCATGGCTATGTGGCATGAATAATTGCCTCTCGTGTAGCAAAAAATGTATAATAATAATAATAAACATAGGAGGTGTAATTGATGAGTTAGAATTATTAATTGAATGGGCGTCTGTGCGTACGGAGCACACACACAGTTTTATGTAACCTACCTGGGTGCGAATAAAGCATTATACTGGTGACGTATTATCCATTGACGTCTCCTTTGACATCTAACCATCGATGTGTTAATTGGCCTTAGGAGCTCCTAATTAAACCCACCACGAGGAACTTCATACGCCGATTCACGTAGCTAACCAGTGCTTCAGTAGTAGGTCCATGCTAGAAAATCAGCAGTTCGTCTCACCTTGGGGGGATTACCTTTTAGATACTACTATGTGTAGAAGGCACGTTTTTTAATATGAGAGCCCGTTCGTGTGTCTGTTCAGTAGTCCAAGCGATGGCGGCTACAGCTACCATCTACCCATACAAGACGATTCACTACCCATGGAAATACATAGTTCATGATTTTTCATTATCCCAACTCTTATGATCAGTGAACGATTGGTTTGCCCTCCAAAGCCCCCTTTGTTACCCACTTAGTCAAACCACATTTGTTGCAAACCTAAATGGCCGGGCTGGGGTGGGGATGGAGCCTACTAGGCATTTGAAAGGACTCCCGATAATAGGACTTGGGTTGAAAGTGTACAAATTGAACACCTCTCTTCAACTCAACTCCAAATGAAAAGGCTCTGGACACAAGGTAACAATACAGGGGGAGATATTCATCATATATAAAGGATTTCACAGATTCATCGTAAAGCTGGCTTGCGTGCTAACTTAACATGACTCGCGGTCGAGAAGCTCTTTCGCTGCAATGAGTTCACCTTGCGCATGCTCCCAAAGCTGGCGGTCCATAGACCGCCGTTTCATAATATCCTCAAGTTTTCTTCTGGCGAAAAGATTCAGTTTCTCGACCTTCTCTTTGGGCAAAAAATCTTCTGTTGATGCTGACGATGACGCCTGTGTAGAATCCATCGTAAATTCTCTGCCAAGTTGGAGAGAAGTTGCCTGGGAGATCATACGTCAGTATAAATAATTAATACAGATGTCAAAACTGAGTCTCGGCAAGCAGAAGACAGGAAACTGGACAGCGGTTATGAGGAAGTCATGCAGCGGGTAAGGGCTCACCAAGATTAAGCCATAAAATCCTCTAAGATAATCGTCACATAGCTCGACACTTCTACAAAAATACTGGATAGATCTTCGCAAATACCGAGAGGTAACTTCTGTCTCTGCAGCGCGGGCGCAGATGTATAGAACTTCTCCAAGGCGAGCATGAATCTGCAGTAGAGGTTAGACGAGTGTCGATGGGAAGCAAACAGTGGATACATACGTTCCAAGCATTTGGAGCGATCAACAGGGCCTCCTCGAAACTGAATATTGCTTGCGAGCTTAATCCTTGAGACTGATATAAATCTGCAAGTTCACACCAAGCCTCTGCATCGGTAGGTACTGCTTTTAGGAGCTCTACCAAGCCTGTTATAGCATCTGCAGGCCTTGCAAGTGAACGCAAAAGCGCGATACGGCGCTTTAGAATGGGCTACAAGGACCAGTCAGTAAGTGCTAATCAACGAACACATCATGACAAACCAAATTAAGCGGGTTCTCCAACAAGGAGGAATCGTATTTACGCAGGGAATCCTCCAGATCAGATTGATTCTCAGCTATAGCCTCCTCATATAGGCCACGCAGCCCCATTACTTTCTCATTCGAAGAGCCGAAACGACGTGTCAATTGCTCGAGACATAACAGAGCAGACCTATCATCGCCGGTTTGTAAACAGGAGAAGAACAGTTGTTCTATTATGCCATATTTCTCTGGCTCCTCTTGTTTAGCTATTAGTGTAGAGATTGGATTATTTTCTGAGTGTAATTGATGCTCAAGTATCACCGGTGCCTGCTGAGAGAAACGAAGAGTAGTAATCGGGCTTGAGCTCTGAACGGCATGGTAATCGGGTGTAGCATGAGCCATGACAGCACACACTCAAAACCAGTGAGCACACTGGTTCATATGTTATTGTGAGAAGAACAAGCTCTACTATGCTCAACCTCTTTTTGCAGGGAAGAGATGGGGGCAGAAAGAAAGAGACAAAATCCAACACTTCTAGGGGTGGTAGCCCTGCTTCCTCCATATGAGCTCAGTTCCCATTGTGGTTAGTCATTTTCTCTGATAACCGTTCCCGTGACCAAATAGATGCCATTTCACTTATCCCTCCACCTCAGATAGCAACCACGTGTTAGCCCTACTTATCAGCTATCATTATATTAACTCCATACTGGATCCTGTACTAGCGTCCGGGCTATAAGTGATTGATAACTACCATTATTCGCGGGGCGAAGGATATAATCAGGGCCAAAACATTACTCTCCATGTGACATTAATCAGTAGTAATTCTAATGTGTCTGAGAGCCAACCAACTACTCAACCATAATGTTCGCACCTCGCCTGTCCTCGCTACTCGAAATCTTTGCTAATCATCCAGCAATGTAGGTTTGAAAAATCTCTTTATGACCTTATAAAAGGTCTGAGGAACCACAAAGGGGCCGAGGAGGACTACATACAAGACAGTCTTCGAGAGTGCAAGGCTGAGATCAAGTCTCAGGATACGGGTACGTCCACGTCAGTCTCATGTTTTGTCGATCCATTCTATAGCTTACTCTGTATAGACAAGAAAGCTACGGCCCTATTGAAACTAGTTTACTTGGAGATGTTTGGGTATGACATGTCCTGGGCTTCATTCCATGTACTGGAAGTCATGTCATCTACCAAGTACCTGCAGAAGAGAGCTGGTTACCTTGCAGCGGTACAGAGCTTTAGACCAGATACTGAAGTCTTGATGTTGGCTACAAACCTGCTAAAGAAGGTATTCAAAGGCACAGTGAACAAATTGACACGGCGTCTAATGTCTTCATAGGATTTAGTGTCGCCTAGTATCCCAAACATGTCCCTCCCTTTGATAACATTGCCAAACATTATCACACCTTCACTCGCAATGTCTTTGCTCCCAGATGTTCTATCCCGCATTTCTCACTCCCATGCTGTGGCTCGTAAGAAGGCTGTTGTGTGTCTTTATAGACTTGCACTGGTTTACCCCGAAGCGCTAAAATTGGCATGGCCTAAAATCAAGGACCGTCTCATGGATGATGAAGAGGATAGCAGCGTCACCACAGCGGTGATCAACGTTGTGTGTGAACTCGGATGGAGAAGGCCACATGACTTCCTGCCTCTGGCGCCCAGATTCTTCGAACTACTAGTGGATGGAGGGAACAATTGGATGGCTATCAAAATCATAAAGCTTGTATGCTTCCCTTCTCGCGAGTTTTGTGGATATCTTCCTAACAATATAGTTCGCTACATTGACACCGATAGAACCACGATTAACACGAAAGCTTATTCGGCCATTGATCAACATAATTCAGACAACAACTGCCATGTCATTGCTCTATGAATGTATCAACGGCATAGTTCAGGGCGGTATTCTTGATGGTGAGGAAGGGCTGGAGGAAAAGAACGAGATTGCAGGTCTCTGCCTCGGAAAGCTCAGAGGCATGGTAGTCACAGAGTCCGATCCCAATTGTAAGTCCTTTCAGATCGCAGATCAAAGCGTAAGAGTGAACCTAACATGAGTCTATAGTAAAATATGTTGCTCTCCTTGCCTTCAACAGAATTGTGATGTCTCACCCCGTCTTGGTGTCAGCTCATCAGGATGTGATTATGGATTGTTTGGAGGATCCGGACATTTCAATCCGACTGCGAGCCCTTGACCTCGTGACTCGAATGGTAACAAGTGACACGCTTCAGTCAGTGGTGAATCGACTTGTCGATCAACTTTTTAATGCCCGTCAAGCCACCAGAAGTACTCTGAGTGAGACAGGTATACGCACTGACATGGAAGAGTTTACATTATCAGAAGGTCCATACGCTCAGAAGATACCGATCGTTTTGCCAGACGATTATAGTATTGAAGTCGTACACCGAATTTTAGATGTCTGCTCTTACAACAATTATTCAGAGCTGCCTGACTTCGAGTGGTATGTTGACGTTCTTGTCCAGCTAGTCAAGCTGCTTCCTCCGGCCGTCGAAGACCTTCCTACTCAGTGTACTTCATATCGGGATCCTGAGTACTACAAAAATTGTGTTGCTTTCCGTATCGGATCGGAAATACGCAATATCGCTGTTCGTGTTAGGGACGTTAGAATGGAGGCAACCAGAGCTGCAGAGACTCTGATTCTAGTTGACAACAAGCAGGGCCCATCTCCCCTTATCTCCAAACAAATGAATGACATCTTAGGGCCTCTTGCCTGGGTCACTGGTGAATTTGCAGAGCATCTTGCATATCCTAGCCAAACCCTTCAATCACTGATCGATATGTCGAATGTGTCGTTATCAGCGAGCACGCTGTCCCTTTATATACAGGCTATTCCCAAACTCCTGGCCAATATCGTTAGTAGTGAGGGCAAAGCGTGGGACTCATTAAAGAGCAGTGAAATGTCCCTCTTATTAGCTCGAATCATCGAATTCCTTGATTTCTTGGCTGCCCACCCAGACTTGGACGTGCAAGAAAGAGCCATCGAATTCCTAGAGGTCATGCGCCTAGCAGCAGATGCCGTCCAGTCAGAAACTCTAGAACTAGGCCAGGCTCCATCCTTGCTGTCGTCTATGGTTCCCAGCTTGTTCCATGGACTAGAACTCAATCCGGTCGCCACCAACGCCCAGAAGAAGGTTCCTTTGCCAGATCAGCTTTGTCTAACACAGGAGTTCAACAAGCATCTATATGGGCTTTTCAATAACCCGGCCAATGGACTTCCGGAGCCAGCAGGCCAACTACCATCTCAGGTGTTTTATCACGTTAGAGAAGCTTCGGCGCTAGATAAGCAGCCCGTTGAATTTGTACCTGTCGATTTGCAACTTAATTCAACATACCAGGACCTCTCCAGTGGCTTTGGAGATGGCACTGCCGCTTTAAAGCGGAGAGGGGAACGGAAAGAACGTAACAAGGATGATCCATTTTATATTACTGCTGAAGATGAAACTTCCGGCACATTGACCCCATTTCACCAGACTCTCAACACTTCAAATGGTAGTGGACTGGATATTGACTCTATTCCCATAGTTGACCTCAAATTGAATGGCGCCGGAAGCCATCGCACTTTAACATCTATATCACGCGATAACCGACAAGGTGGCTCACGCCCTAAAAAGTACGAGATCGCACCTGATGAGATGATCGGACAGGAAGATTCACCGCATCTTGACTCCAATGATGAACCGAGTAAAGCCAAACGATCTCTTCTACAGGTCGACTCGAGTGGTCTCGAGCATCTATCTTTGGATGCTAGGGGTGGCCCCTCGGTAGAGCCTACCGTTCCTACGATGGCGGCCGGGCATGATGCAGAAATGGCTATGGCTGTGCAGAAAGTGGAAAAGCTGCGGCTAGAGATGCAAAGAGCGTCGGAACGTGTTCATCCAAATGGCATCCCTGCGGAAGGGACGCTGGTAAGGAAAAAAAGAAAACTAAAAAAGCCTACACGTATTGGATCCCAGGAAGCTGCACTGCTAAAGCCTAACGATGAACTGTCGGTGGATAACATTCAACAAACGTTACCTTCATCTGGGGCACCAAAGAAAAAGAAGAGAGCGAAAAATAAAACCAATGCTGGCTCAAGTAGCGCACACTAAGGTATATCCACTCGTTTGTGGGTGTCATGGACCATGTATCAGGAGGTTGGTGTTGGTTGGTGTTTGGGAGTCGGATGAGCCCGGTGGTATTAGCTAGGATATCCATCTGCTTGTCACAGTGGGTGAACCATTTTTGAGGCCTTGAAAGTGTTCCCAGAGCCCTTTTACGCCCTTGATCAGAAAGCAGTGGCCTCACCTTGCAAGTGGTTGTCGCTACTAAATTCCGAGAATCACACGGTTTGTCCGATGCAAGATACAAATCACGTACAGTGAACTCATTTACCTAGAACTAGGGGATCAGAGAGTGTAATGGATTAAATTAATACGATACTTAAAACAGCCATAGTCGATTAGCGAATACCTAGCCTAGGATTATACCAACTTGCGATTGAACATCGCAACAGCAGCCGACCATAACTCCGGAATAATCCTCAGAGCCTCGAATGCAAGGCCACCACAGACCGCAAAGGCGAGAACAACTGTTGAGGCCTCATTAGCCTCAGAAACCTCGATAATTCTGGACTTTGGAGACATACCAACCCACCCGGCAGACACCGGAGACTTCGAGTTCTGTTTTTGTTTTGTTGCAGACTTTCCTTTGCCACGCTTTGCAGCCTCGCTCTTCGCGAACTTTTCATTTGCCTTCCGTTGTTGTGGTGTCTGTGCCTGAAGTAGCTACTTCAGCAACTGTAAGGCGCAAGGTAAGTGCGAGGTTGGAGCTTACCATATTTGTTCTCTTGTGTTCTATTTCAGGGAGGTCCAGAGGGTGACAGGTGGGGAGGAGTGGCAGAGATTGTACTGTAGCGAAGAAAGTGTGGTTGATATCACTCAATCATTTCGGGCCCAGCTCGCGTTGACGATTAATTTGGGGTTAGCTTGAAGGTAATTAGGAGGAATATGCTGAGGTGAGAGGCCACGTTGCTTTAGTATGGTTGGGAGAAAGTAATAGGGAGCTGCCAAGTCTCACTTGACAATTAGAGGATAGTTTTATACACTCGCCTTGGTTTGCAATATTTGCTCTTAAAATGGCATTTACGCCAACCTTTGAGTTGTCCTCCTGCGCGTGAGGCTGCTGCTGCCCTGTTGTTGTATATAGACTATAGTAGAAGGTGAAGGCAGCAAGAAAAGATGTGTTCAACCACAAGGGCCTGGGGGGAGTAAGTAACTATGTAATAGTATACTAATAAATATTAATTTAATAAATAAAATTCTTAGAATTTGATAGAGTAATTTAATTAATAAAGTTATTTATCTATTATTATAGAACATTAAACTAATAATAATTGATAATAAAATTAAATTTTTCAATTAAAATTATTTAATATTTTTTGATTTTAATTTTATAATTTCTAATAAAATCTCTATAAAGCTTTTGATTTAATAGCTATAAATTTATTAAAATATTAATTTTAGACTAAATATATTATATTACTAGAATTAGACCTTGTAAAATAAGATAAATATTCTAAATAAAATAGACCAGATAGTATGTTGTGCCTATAAGCACCGAGAGTATTGTAGAGGAAGTTGTCTTTTATTGATAAGGGTTCGCAGCCGCCGATAAGCGGTAGCCGCACCGCTTTATTTACCGCTTTCGGGCAGAATACATGAAAGCCACAACATAGTAGGCCTAGGAATGGTCCGGTCTCGGACTCTCGGTCCCAACTTTAGGGACCGGGACCGGGACCGCCGGTGCTTGGTCTTTTTTTTATAGGCCTAGGACCGCACTATAGTCCCCCAGAACCACCTTGGCAGTCCCCCACAGGGGATTATTTTTATATAATTTTACCATAATCTTCCCTTTTCGGTAGAATAACTATACTGTGTATATAAAATTTAGATTAAGATAGAATAAAGATTTTATATATACTTTAAAAAAAAAAAAGCTATAACCTTTTCTATAATATAAATATTTAAAGTAGAATACTAAAAATATAGACTAGTTATATATAATTTATATGTATTACTAAATATTAAGTATAAGACAGTATACTACTTAGTTAAAATATATTAGATATTTAATTATATCTCTAAATACTTAATCCAGCCAATATATATTATAGAATTAGATCTAGTTATCTTATCTAGAGAATCACCGGACCGGATCAGACCGCAGTAGTGTGGTTCTAGAAAAATCAGGACTGTACACGGTCCCTAAATCTGAGGGCCGGACCGCACCATGGTGTGGTCCGGTCTTTGGTCTTTGCGGTCCTTTCCTAGGCCTACCAGATAGGCTCGATATATTAAAAAATAAATAACAGTGTCACATACTCAGGCTAGTTTATGCTGCCACGGGTATTCTGCCACATGTGGCCGATGCAGTATATCCGCGCCCTTACAGCACTTGGTGGGGGGAAATCAACTTATAGTCTGACAATTAGTAGTATATCTATGGTAACAATATTCTGAGAGATTATCAGAGAAATATATCTTTATCTATTATTCTACTTATCAAAATCTATCTTAAAATTGATACAGTTTAACCAGAGATTCCAATAACTATATTAACTAGTATTAAAGTTAATATTTAAAATATCTATCTATATATAATAATCTACCTTAAAAGTAGAAAAGGTAATTTATTCTATAATTCGAGAGCTCTTTGATTTAAAACTCGAAATAGTAAGTTTCAGCTGCCCTAATCCTAAAGCGGAATAGTCTTAGGGCTGGCTTGAGAGGATATAAAAATAGAATAATAGTATAGATTAAATGACTAGATAAGATAGAACAGACTTGAAGAGATCAAATGAATGAATAGGAAATCTGACTATCTGATAATCAGATAGTTGGTTGATGATCTGCTTGAATCAAGAAGATCATTTAGTAGATGCTTTTAGGCCTTATTGTAGACAATTTTTAGGCCTTGCTTTTAGTGAATAATTTCAAGTCAACATAAAAGTAGTGAATTTGTCATCATGACTAATACTGACTAACTCTTGATTTCTAATAATTTCTAATAATTTATATTAAATTATTAGAAATCATTCAAAGTCATGAATCATAGATTCCTTCTAGACCTTAGTTAAAATAAGATTTCAACCTAGTCTAAAATAGGTAATACTATAGAAGCTTTCTAGAATATTTCCTTATTAGGTAATTTCACTCTGACAGTAAGTTAATATATTAGATTAATAATTGGAAAGATATATTATTAATTAAATAAACATTATTTAATTAATTATATAATTTTAAAAGTTTTATTCTATTAATTAAATCATATATATTTAAAATCTCTATAGATTCTAGTAATTCTAAGTCTAATTAGATATCCAATTTATCTAAAAGTTTTAATATCTCTTAGATTTTCTAAAAATAATATTTTATCTAGATCTAATTTATCTAGAAATCCCGATATATTTAGAATGTCTAAATTCCTTAAAATATGTAATCTTTATAGTAAATTTTACTTAGTGTTGTGCCTAAAAGTACCGAGAGTATTCTAGAGGAAGTTGTTTTATTGATCTATCTAAGCAGCCGATAAGCGGCCGCTATACCGCCTTTCCTACCGCTTTCGATAGAATATATAAAAGTCACAACAATTCCCTAAATTTCTTAAGACTGTGTCTTCACAGCTTAATCGACTAAGTAATAAGTTCTTAGAGTAATTTAGTAGACAATAAAATATATTTCAAATAAAGAATAAATATATAAGACAGAAATATAAAGAAAAAATCTAAAAATAATTTAAGTAAATTAAACAGTATATAATAAGTAATAAAAATATACAGATAAGTATAATATAGAAAAGAAGTTAATAAACTAATAAATATTATAAAGTAAAGACAGATTTAATATTATAATTATTAAGTATTGAATATCTTAAGAAAATTTTTACTTAGTAAGATATTTCTCTAGAGAGTTAATTCTCTACTGTTTAGTAAGTATTTTGATATTAACTATTTTTAAATATTATTTAAGTTTAGTAATCTCTATATTCTGACTCTTAAACTATTTAGTATTTACTTTTTTTAGTTACTCTCTAAATATAATAGTTTTTTTATTCTATTTATTTCTAAGACTATTGAATACTTTTTTAATTTTTTTTTATAATTTTTTATAAAGTTTTTTAAATTTTCTTATAAATAAAAATATATATAACTACTCTTCTGTATTAAGTTAATTGGATAGAGTAGTAGTCTACTAATAATCAGTAGTTTACTAATAGTTAGTAGATAGATTAGCTAATAGTATAGTATTAATTAAGTTAATAATCTCGACTACTTTCTCAGTATTTAGAGATTAGTTAATATTTTCTTAAATAATTAGTTATTAATTTTTTATATACTATAAATCTTTTCTATAGTATATATTAGTCTCTATAATACCAGTAATTTCTAGTATAAATAGAATATATTTTAAAAATTATATAAAGTCAAGAAATAGTAATTCTCTATATAGTAAAAGTAATTTAGTATATTTTATTATTTTTTTTTTTTTAGTTTATATAACTTTTATTTAAAATTTATTTAATAATCTCGATTCAGAATAGATATTAATAAATTATAATATAGTTTTTATATTTTTTTTATTTATTAGAGTATAATAACTTTTATAAATTAGGATCTAAGACTATTTATTAACTATTATTATTACTAATAGACTGATTAATATTTTTATTTTATAGATATTTCTATTTAGTTTAAAATCTATTTACTATTTAGTTACTTTTTTTTTTATATTATAGTCAAGAACTGTTAATATAATTTAGATATCTAATAGTCTTATATTTCTTAGTAACTAACTATATATTTTAAGATTATAGATATTTAGAATTATTTTTTATTTAATAATAGTTTTTTAATTTATTTAGTTATAATTAAATTTTTTTAAATCTTTTTCTTTACTATTATCTTATTTCTAAACTTTATATAGTTTACTATTTTATTAGACTATTATATAGCTCTAAACACTATTTTTAAGTACTTTAATCTATTTAGAGATACTAGAGATTAAAAGATAAATAGAGAGTATTTATAAAAAGAAAATAGCTATTATATTAAAAAATTTAATATTTTTTAAGTATTTTTAATAAAGAAGTAAAATAGTCAATAATTAATAAGAAAAAAAAGAAAAGAAAGAAATTATAAGAAATTAAGAAAATA